AAGCAAAATATTATGTCGCATCATCCTGGAGAGACTAAGAAATGCACTGGACTCAAAATTGTGACCGGAACAGGCAGGCTGGCTGGCTTCAGGAAGAACAAATCATGTGGGATCAAATTCCGACACTTCGCATCATCCTAGAACAGAGCATAGAATGGCAGTCAACTCTCTACCTCACTTTCATCGACTTTAAAAAGGCCTTCGACAGCGTAACTTGGCAGTCGCTTCAACACTACGGTTTCGGTGCCACAAATCTTTATCAACCTCATTCAACAGCTATATGACGATGCCAGATGCCAAGGGATCCACAATTGAAAGCTCGGTGACGCCTTTGAAGTGAAGATAGGAAGGTGTAAGACAAGGCTGTCTACTATCATCCATAATCTTTCTGATTGTGGTCAACTGAATCATGCAGCAAACCGTGAGGAGCAAGAAGATAGGCAGAGACTGGCTAGGCCGATGGAAAGATCTCAGAAGATTTGGATTTCGCCAATGACTTGCGTCTAATGTCACCTAAATCTGAAGATCGACAGACAAAAAAGTTGACAGAAGAGGCAGGGCAGCGAAGACGGGACTTCAAGTGAATGTTCAGAAGATGGAGGTGATGAAAATACCCAACCAACAACAATCTCCAATCACTATCAACGGGAGAAACTTAAAGAAGTAGCCTCTTTCACCCATCTAGTCAGCACTGTTTCAACTACAGGCGGCACAGACGAGGACGTGAAAGCCAGGATCAGAAAGACAGCAAGACAGGTGTTTATTGACCTGAAACCAGTATGGAGATCTACTGTACTCAGCATAAAATGCGAACAACATCAGGACTTTCAGCACTAACGTGAAGTCAGTGCTTCTATGTGATGGTTCAGAAACTTGGCGCGTTACGAAAAGCATTTCCGATAAACTGCAGATATTCATCAACAACTGCCTACGCTGGCTCGTTACTGAAGATCGGATGGCCAGAATAATAAGAATAAACAACAAGGAACTCTGGCTGACAACGAAGCAAACAAGAACGTGTCGCTCAGAAATATGCAGAAGGAAGTATAGATGGATTGAGCATGCACTGAGGAGACCATTCGGTGACATCACGCGCAAGGCAATCGAGTGGAACCCAGATAGGAAACGGAGAGTTAGGCGTCCGAGAGTGACACGGAGGCGATGGTGTGAGGAAGAAATGAAAGCTTGTGGGCAGTGGTGGAGCCAGGTTGAAAGACTGGAGAGAAGAGAGTGGAATGGAGACGTGCTACTGAAGCCCTATATTCCACTAGGAACCCAAAGAAAAATAATAATAGTAATAATATATACGATTCTTCTAATACTCCTTTATTCTTTGCAGGCTACTGTGACAACTTGAACCAATGTTCTTTTGAGTTACACTTTACGCTGACATTGTTTGTCTGCCTGGAACCATTATTTCACCAATCTTTATTTGGGTGTCATTATTTTCTGTTTAGGGATCCTATATCAAAGGTAGCTAGACTAAATGATGTCAGTTGTTGCGCGATTTTTAATGTCGAACAAAGCGGAAATGTACGGTACATTATAGGCAGAAACGTAATTAAGACATTGAAAGAGCGGTGACTGGTTTAAGAGAAACTTTGAATTAAACTCCAGTGTAGTGAAAAACTATAACTGTTTAGTAACTTCACAGCAAACTACTTAACTTGATTTTGACTTCAACAATCACAAAACAGAATCTTACAGTTTCTGTTGGAGAAGCCTTGTTAAGTAATGTGGTCTGTATTTTGTAAATGCCCTCTAGCTAGGCTGAAAGATAGAATAATGTAGAACAATGCAAAGGAATTTATCTGTAAAAATTACCATAATTCACAGTAGCATGAAAAGAAGTGGAGAGAAGTGGGATTTCCACAGTGTATTTGTAGAGAGATAATAAATAAATGGTGGTAAGTTAAAATGTTCAGACTTTCAAAGATAATAACAAGTGTATAGACCTAAAAAACCGTGACCGATTTTAACACCAAATCATCAACTTTCCTTAAACATTAGTCCCTACCACTTTAAAGTCCGAACCAACCGTGAATATACTACTTTCTTTGATATAGTAAGAAACTTCATCAGGTACTAATTATCTGATTATTCTGTCGGAGATCTTATCATGCTGACAATATGTCTTCTATGGGCTATTTAATCTCTAGTAAAAAACAAACCTTTTTAATCCCGTTAAAATCACTACATTTTCAAATTCCTTTCTGATTTTGTAATAACTTTAATGCGTTCAGTTTAGATTCATGACGACAAAAAAGTTGGTTTTGACTTTTGAAACACATATTTTTGCTTTTGATTTGTTGTGAACATTCAGTTTTAATTTACATATGCTAAGAACTTATATCATCGTGATTAACACGTATAGGCTATTAGCGGATAATTTTAAAGGAAATAATTGAATATTATCACCAAAATCATCATTATTCGTAAAGCAATCACTGAAAATTTATATTTTTCTTTCTATCTCGTCTGTAAACCAATGATAAGAATTAAATTGAAGAAACTATTTGTGAAATAATAATTGAAACTACAGGAGGGCTTAGGGACAACTGTTAGTTGTTATTTATACTATCCTCTACATACTTAATATAGAAAGTTTGGAGGTTCAGTTCCAGCAGTTTTGATGATTTTATGAGAAAAATATAATTTTTACCTCGTTAATGATACAAGTATAGCAGTAATATAAGTACAAACCGCTGTCGAACAAGAGACGCTTCAAGCATTTGGAAAACGAAGTCTACTGTATGCTGTATTTCTTAGTTTTATTTCTTAATCTTTGGCAGTCTGTTTGATTGCTGTTCCAACCCCAAAATACTCTATATTGCAGTTAGGGAATAGGGGAACCACAGATCTACAGTATCTGACGTTAATGTGAAGAAATGTCTAGCTACTTTCAGATTTTTTTCCTTCTAGGAGTTGAGAAATGTGATAACTGGGACCAATGCACCTCTACGTTGATTTTATCTGTTCGTCAGAGAGAAGGAGAAATCAACACTTTTGTTCGTTGATTCTTATAAAGCTAAAAAAAGTACTTTCTTGGATGTACAAATTATTTCGTTGCTTCTACTAGCAAACCCTTTTCTTTACTTTGCCTTCTTTTCAAATAAAAATTCTGTATATAATCTACTCACGTAAATACTGTAATCAAGAAGAGTTATGCAAACTTTTTATGTGGACGCTTTTGATCTGTTATTCCGGCAAGAAGACTGGCAAGAAAGTGTTTTAGTTTCTTACACAGAAGTATCTGGACTCATAAGAACCTAATCAGTGTACATCATTTTGCAGGTTACTAGGAAACTGAAAGAAATATGCACGCACATTCTGCATTATGGTATATAAGTCAAGGCCATTTCACTTTCACGAAAAACGTCTTAAAAATTTCAAGTTTAACAGCTACGTAGCAACACTCATCATGGTTCGTGTGACATAGTTGATTGTATGAACGAAAAACCCCTATATTAAATCTGAAAACAAAGGCTTTAACATGAAAGAATAGTCATAAATATAAAAGTTATCAACTGTCTTCCAGAAAGCTCTCTATGAAGACCCCAAATTAAAAGGTGACGTTGTGGCTTAAATGCTGAAAAGTCACTTCATAAGGTCCCTGAGTTAAACATTTTACACACCTGGCCTCAGAAATACATTCTCCAGTAAACAAATAATCCATTAATACACTAAGGATATGGTACTGCTTTGGCTACCTCAGTGTGCAACTGTGAGACTACTTTTCTTGGGGAGTAACCTACATTAATTGTACACAGCGCCAAGTCCGTAAACATATTCTGGGACATCGTGCAACTTGTTGACTCAGGTGAGAGAGAAGGGATATCAGCAGTTCTGTTCTGTACATCTTTTCTTCTCCAGATATCTTACTGCTTCCAGAAGTTCACACAAAGTAGTTTCCACAACACCTTCATGCACTTAACCTATGCGTAGTAAAAACACTGGCAATTCAAATGCTTAGACCTAGCCTTTGTATTCAAAAACATTCCATGGACTAATCAGTTTCACTTTGGTCTTAGTAGGAACTTCCTTCTGTCTTCAGAAACAGCTTCACCTTTCACTCTTGAATATAGTATAAATCAGATGACCGTAGTGAATAGTGATCAACTTTTATTTGTTTCTGTTACCTACAAAAATGATTGTATCGCCTTAGTAGTTAAAAAAATTGAAAAGGTTTTCTTTCCTATTACGTTTTTCTGTTTAACATTTGAGTTTCGAAGGATTGTGGATCTGTTCTTCGAATTTGTACCTTAGATTGAGTGAATCTTCCTGACTAACTTCAAACTTCCAGCTAACATCTTTCGTGTCAAGAACCAACAATCTTGAGTGATTTCTTTAAACTCATTGGCTACATTACGCATTTCTGGACAACGTAATATTTATTTCTAAATCCCTTAATTTTTACTTGTCATTTGTTTGATAAAGTAATACTTAAGCTAGCTTTGTTTGGTTACAGGTTTGTTTGCCTAAAGAACTCTACTTGGTTATTAGATCTCTCATACTGTTTGCATATTGAACATTAAAATAAGTGCTTACCTATCGCTAAGTATTCTGAAAGAATTTATTCGAGTGGAGAAACTATCATTTTAAGAAGAAAGTCAATGATATTTTGGAAAGCAGTGATTATGGAAAATAACAGAACTTGTTGACTAAGGTATCACAAGATTTTGACACGCTGACTAACTAACACTTTTCGATTTTAAATATATCTGCTTATGAATGTACAGTTAAGTTATTTACAATCATTTCTAAGTTAGTTGTTTGTATCAGAAACTTCAAAGGTTTGAATTGATGTGATTTAGTTCATTACATGTTTCATGTGGACACTATTGTTGTCCTTATCTTACTATTCGTCTTAGAGTAATTTGAAAAGAAGTTGGGTTAATTTAGAACTTTTCTTGATATCGATTTGATTTTTTTCAGATTTCGCAGGTATTTTCCAACTAGTAATCAAAGTAATTTACTTTTTACTAATTATTATTTTTCAGATAAGTACTTCTATTAGGTACAAATTCCGTTACTTTAGTTTCACGTGGTAGATCAACAAAGCCTTTTCATCAGCTGGATACCCATTATTATGCCAATAGCTAATTCTCGACTAGAACGTTTACAATTAAAAAAGCTTCTTCAGTGTATTAATGGTAAAGATTTAGATCAGATCAAAAAGTTAGTTGAACATGGAGTTCCAAATATTATCAATTACAATGATCCAGATAATGGAATAACAGCTATGATTTCAGCAGTAAAATCTGATGACATTAACATAATTGAAGTAATAGATAATTTGAATATGGTTATAACATGATGATTGATGTTTCAGTTGCTTCTTTCACTTGGTGCATGTACAGATATTGTAGATTTTGATGGTAAAACTGCTCTAATGATAGCAGCTGAACTTGGATATGAAAATGTATTGAAGAAACTATTAGAGAAAGGCCCCAACAGGGATGCGAATGACTTTCGTGAAAGAAGTAATTTAGAATTATTATTATAATTTTCTTGGTTAAAATTTTAGATGTTTTGTTTTATTGTGTTTCCCCAACAAACTCACATTTAAAATGTCTTAGCTTACTACTAGATAAAAATATAAATATTGATAAACAGGATGTTGAAGGACAGACAGTATTACATAGTGCATGTAAGAAGTCGACTGAAAATGAAAAACTTATTCTGAAACTACTAAGTCATGGTGCTAATCCAAACATTCGTTCGGTAAGCAAAATATTCATATTCTTAACATCGTAGTTTTTATAATTGGCATTTACCATTTAAATATGTAATAACATGTATAGATTTTATTCTCTGAAGAAGTGACTTCATGAGGTTGCGAAACGTCAGAGATTTTTTTGTACCTCATTTGCATCTTACAAATATATTTCATTTATAATCCATTTCCCCGATGCTTAGCTTATTCAACTCTGTTAAGTCAAAACTTAATCCAGAAGTATATGAAATCATATTTTTTACAAAATAAAAATTGGTTTTTTGATGAAATTTTATCGAACGTGTCACAAATTATGATTTAAGACAAAGATGTTTTTTTATCATTCTAACAGACATTGTCACGTTTTTACTTATCCTTGATATGCTGGATCATATCTTCATCATACACGCTGAACATTTTGTCCAATATTTTTATGTATAAACAAGTTTAGGTGTAAAAAGTTTATTTACATTCCCCCGATGTGATTTAAATGTTATATCTGTACAATATTTCACTAGTCTGAACAACTATATTTGCAGAGAAAAATGATAAAACTTGAAACAGTGAATTAAGAATGGTATGAACAGCAAAAGGACATGACTAGAAAGTATCTAGGTACTGTGAATGTCAGCAACACTTAGGGAATTCATTGGTTTCATTTGGACCTCTTTTGATCCGTATCATCTAGTAACTACTATCTTAAACTTACAGTTTCAAGAACTCTGTTTGATAGGCCTGCTTAGCTCAAATTAAAAATCACCTAATTCACAAATTCGTATTTTCCATTAGTTTGAGATGGCACACACAGAAATATATTTACTTGACGTTTCGAACATAAATTATTGCTCATAATCATATCAGTGGGACCACACGAATTTCGATATCTGACTTTTATAGTCCTCTCACCTCATATTCTTTGTCTTCATTGATGGTAAAATTTTCTATATCTCTTGCATAAGTGGTACTTCATTCATTTTATATGCTTTGCGTGTTGATTCAATGAACAAAGATTTAGTAATCAATCTTTCTCCCCACCTCATTATATTGGATTTAAGTAAAAAGGTTTTATCCCACTCGATTGTGTAGTTGTGTGAAATAATTTCATGAAGTGTGAGATATACTAATTTGCAAACAACATTTTTCAAAAAAAGGAGACCATTGCACGAGTAGTAAATCATATTCAGAAAATTATTTCACCTGATATTATCCCGAAATATCTACGTTTATGTTCACTACTATTATAGAAAACTGGGAGAACTTCACTGATTGAAGCATGTGGATCAGGTAGCAGTAAAGTAGTTGCTGAAGCTATCCGCGCTGGAGCAGATATGAACGCTTATGATAACAATAAACAAACTGGTGCTCATGAAGCTGCCAAAAATGGTCATTTAAAAGTTCTCTTTGTATTATCTGCATATGGTTTTGACTTCAATGTTGTAAGTAAAGTTCAGTCAGTAGTGTATGATGAAAATTTCTTTTATGAAGTGCATTTCGTTTATATGAGTATTCAAATAAGGGTATCGAAAATATGGAAATACTCACTGATGATTGTGGTATATCAAGGAAGCACCATTGCATTACAACACAGTACCTGAGTGAAAACACTCTTATCGCAAGAAATAACTGTCATGGGTACAAAGTGCTAAGAATTTTTAAACTGGAATAAAGCAGTTGTGCTGTACTGCAAAGTTTTCATTGGCTCAGTGCATGATATCGGATCTTGATGAAAACCCCTTGGAAATCAATCCACTCACCACACACTTCCAAATCGACTGAATATGTATCAACTAAATCTATAAAACGCTTAGGTGAAATGATAATATGTTCCGTTAATTAAATGTGTAGTTATACTGGGAACAAAGTCAAAGTCAGTAGTAATATTTAAGTAAATATGAATGTTTTTGACAAATCACGACTTTGGTAGTGAGGTAACTAATTTAGTTTCACATGTCTTGATTCATTTCAGTCGATATCTTCTAGATGAGATGGCTGAGAATGACACTTCCACTACTTAATATCACTATTTGTTAAAACTGTTAAACATCAAGTAAACAGTCTGCATTCCAGTTTAATCTGCACTGAGATACATCAAATGAAGGAAATCAAACTAAGAATGTTAAATGGCGTGCATCTGCACAAACTTAAGTTAAAAGTAAAATCAACTGATATGTTAAGTAGAAATAAAAAGAACTTGTGAATTGAAGTTAATAGTATTTATTGATGTTATTATCTTCTACCGCTATCTATCTTTTCTTTCAGTGAACGACATAGCAAAACGTTCAAACTATGTAATGATCACATTCTGCTATTGATGAGCATATGATCAGCTTGGGTTAACTGAAGGTAGTATTCTATCCTTATGCTGTGAATGCATCGAGACTCATGAAATTTGTCTTGCAAACTAAGACAAACTGCTATGCTTAGATCACATGTTTGGAATGATAACTGCTAACTATGACTCTAGTACTGTAACTTGATTAAAACGCTCTACGTGCACTTCTTTAAGCTGCTTCCACACCTATAAGCCACCAACAAAAGTCAACAAAAGATGAGGTATTTGTAACCCGTTAGCTAACTGTTTTTCATTTCCTTCTAGCTAGCTTTACGGATAACACTTTTGTACAGATTAATAGCATATTTGCAACAGATAAAATTATGCCATTTAGGAAACAAAGTGATAGAAACAGTTTAAAGTTAATCGGCTGTTACGCTGCGATGAAACGTGAACTGATAATCCACAGGTCTATAGAAAACGTGTAATCATGAAGTAATACTGTGAAATAACATCTGTTTATATTTTTCTGTAAAAGCAAATACAACAGTTGGCTAAAGTATACTTAACAAATTTTTTCAATTCCTTTCTTCTATCTGTTGTAACAATTTGTGCCTTATATAGTTGAAAGTATCTATTTCTGAAGGTTTTTAGGATTTTTTCTCACTACGTTTTCAATAAAGTTCACTTTTCTATCTGGTTATAAAGATGCACATACAATTATTTTTTGGTTTATACCGCTGACATGATTGTCCCGTCTCTGTACCTTAATAAACTTGACCACTCACTGTATTTTGACGACAGAGTAGAGAACGTGTTGTTTTTTTTCTAAACCCTTGAATATATTGTATAGAAATGTTATTATTTGATCAAACGGATCATTACTTTAGTAGTTGGTAGATAATAGAATTTCAGCGATTACGATGAATGGAAGCGTTTCGCTTATCTGCTATGACGACAAAAGTTTCGGTTAGCAGAGTTTAGAAAGAATACCGTGACAAAATTGGAAATCTAGTAATTTGTGATGTTTGTTACATCTTTCAATCTTATTGCTCCTTTGTACAGCTGTCAGTCAGACAGTTTAATTACTCATCTCATAAATATATGTGTGAAGGGAATTGAAAATAATGGGCATTTCATACAAATAATACATGTTTTCAAAATCATATAAAAATGCTATAATTTACTTGTAGAACTGATGGATTTTCTAATTACACATGGTTTATTTTATTTTACAGAACTTCTCTTGAATTTTTACCAAAGTTATCAGTTTCTAAGTTCTAAAATTACAATCTGAATGGTGTAAGATGGCTAGTATCAATCAGCAGGAAGCCCTCAACATAGGTTTTATGCTTGTTGGCACTCATCAGTCAGGCTTATCTTCAACCATGGGAGGGCTGGTGTCCCTTCGGTGGTTTGAACCAGAGAAACTCAGTGCTAAACCAAAGAACTATTCAATAACCCACTGAAATCACAACTGAATCCCTGTAAGACTGGATTGTGTATATGAATCAGTGGTCAACCGATGCAGCGTCCTAGTTCTAAGTGCTAAACACTGATTGAGGTCTATCGATCAAGTCTTACAATACGGCTACCAAGCTAAGAGACGCAACACTGCGATGAACTCTATTTTTCTCTCAAACGAGTGTCAACAAATGGGAAAACTGGTTCATTGCTACCTGCTAATTGACCTACAATATTCAGCATGGTAATTGTTGTCAGATGCTTCAGATAGAAAAGTAAATTTCACCCTAGACCTTATATTTTTCTTGTAAACATCATTATCAGGAGTAAGAAATAGTATTAATTGATTAAAACTGCTGCACAAAAGGGGGTTACAGAGGATTTATTTATTTCAACGGAATTTCCCTCATGGACTTACATCAGTTACAGTTGCTTCGAAAAATTGGTAGCACTACACAGCTGCATTGGTCTAGTTTAAAATTACTCCTAAATATCCATCCACAACTCCGTACAGGACCATTAGACTCCACAATTTGCACCGCATTGTTCAACAACGTGGTTTCAATCTGATAATTTTCTTTTCCAAATTCCCTCAATTTGTGGCATCATCCAATATTACTGCCTAGTATACGCTCCACTTATGACTTGTTTGATCTCACGGCAGATCTTGGGAAAACCTATCTCAAAGTAGGTGGCTATCGGGCGCCAAGATATAACTCCTATCTTTAAGAATATCTTAGTCTGTCAGGACTTTCATGCATGAATATTCAAATACAGCAAGCAAAGAGAATTTAAGAAGGTTAAGCTAGTAGTAAGTAGATAAGAAAAACTACTATTACAAATTAATAAATATATTTATCGAAATTGTCAAAATTCTCATCTTGGATCTATTATTAATCACAGCGATATAAAGTAATTATATGCTGGCATCATTTTAATTTAAAAAATACAAAGGAAAGCAATGAAACCTCAAAGCACTAGGATATTTATTTTCTTGGTCTATTAAATTCTTCTGAAAACTATCCGTCAAACAAGCGTAATATGGTTGAAACAGATGAAAAGTTTATGAAGTCAAGATAAGAAATAAAAAGCTTTGAAATTTAGCCGCCCAGATCAAAATAAACTACACTATTGAAATCTTCTTCAGCCACAAATATATTCTGTATCATATCATTGAATATAGTATACAGACAAGTAGCATCAAGCTGTAGGCTAATTTTGAATGTTGAGATATCATAATCTGGTAGAACAAGATTTTTATTTCAGAATAATGATGATAATTGTTTAGTGTCCTTCGAACTTTGAAGTTTATTCCTGAACATTTCATCACCAAGCTAGGTGACTTCAACAGCACTTACTTTATGTAGTATGCTGGACAATTAATTCTTAAGCTTTTAAAGTTTATTTCTTGTGTGATATGATTCCTTTCGTTCCACTGCGCATACATGTGCACTTCAAAAGATTGTCTCTAACAGTATGATAGGTGAAAAACATTTAAGAAAATATCCTTTCTTCATGATATTTATTAACGTTTATTCTTGAAATTAAATACCTGATAACTTATATTGTACTACGAAATGCGCATGCCAGATAAATCATGATGTATAATGCCTTCTGTATAAACAATGTGAATACAATGTGCTTTACATCTTTGTTTAAATAAAATTTTAAACAGATTGACAATGAAGGAAACAATCCATTGCATATGGTTGCTAAGATAAATGAAATGTGCTGTAAATTTCTCGGTCAACGAGGTAAAATATTAATGTAACTTTGTCAAAATCAATTTTACGAATTAATTACATATGACGAATTCATTCAGGACAGTATTGGAGTTACTAAATTATCTTCTATTGCTTAGCTGTACGAGAAAGTGTAACGTTTGTTAAGGTTACAGATTTGGCAGTGCTGAAGATAAACTGGTGGATTTTAGTCAATAATATCGTAGTGTAACTGGTTACGGGGTAGATAGTAGGACCTCCGATTAGTTCAATTGTAAGTCTAGTCAGAAAATTAAGATGGCGATAGATATGACTGAATATAGGCTGTTCATGTAGTAACGTATTGTGTAAAAAAATATGCTCACTCCAGCCTCCTTGTTACATTTCAATAAGCGGAGTTATGATGTTAACTGATATAAAGAGCGTGACTGAGAAGCGGGAAAACATTGACATGGAATTTACCGCATGTTGTGCATAGAAAATACCTCAAGCGTTGTACAGTCCAGCCTGAAGAACAGTTACTGTAACTGTTTTTAATTAACACATTCTTCTACTAATGAGCTATCCTAAAGGAGAGCTTCGCGCTTTATCCATTTACAGACTTTTGTAAAGACAATTTTGAAATTTTGCTTCATTAAGGGTATTATTTTCTTAATTTTAGAACTTCCCCGTCTTGGTGATTGACCGGACCGAATTGATTGGCCACTGTTGGCGTATAGGCAACTAAGTGCATGCCTCGATATTTCTGATATTTTTGGTTTTGATATTGTTGGTGGATAATGGATGGTACTGGAATCCAGGACGCATGTTTCGTCCCATTTTGACCCCTCAGCTGGATGTGGTTGCTATCGTGACTCAGGAAAACAGTCGATAGTACCCTAGCGTTTGAAGCAATTGATCCTTGGTTCAAATCTTAGTGAAGACGACATCCTATACTGGCAGGCAGGTACATCCAGCTGACGACTGAGTCTCAAACAGGATGAAACGCCTGTCCTGTATCCCACTGTCAGCCACTGTCTATCTTTAATATCAACATTGTTTTCAGAAAAAAATTGAGGTATGATAAATTTGAGTAAAACTTTCTTAAGTAAAAGTTGAGTTTATTCACAACGTGAAACAGTACTCGATATATCAAAAAAAATTTACATTAATTCAACGGTGGTCTACTTTGTGGGTATTATGATCTATTTGCAATCTCTAGTTTAGGTGAACCATTAAAAAGAATATACTTCCAGCTACAACTTGGATGATATTTATGATGCTTATTAGCTCTATAGACTTGGTACTTAGGCATCAGGTGAAACAATTAAGTGGGTAATTTATATCAATTTACTCGTTATAACTGCCGTTATTATCAAATTATTTTCACTGTCATGAAATTCATTACTCTGTGTATATTATTGAGAGCCAAGTGATAAAATATTAAGTAGTGTTCTAAAGGCACTTTGGGTTCTGCGGAAAACTTGTTATACGAGACTTAGATGGGTTATAGTAGTGGTCAATATCTCACTGTTTAGATAATTTTGGCTCACAAAGCTTAGTAGCAATGTCTTTCTAGATGAATTTCATAGAATGCTTTTATCAGGGAAATTTCTAAATTTATGAATAAATACTGGTTATTTTAATCTTGTCTTGCTACAAAAATTATCATTATATAAAATTTCACTGTACAGTGTTTTTACGAAAAACTACTACCCAATCTGCGACATTCTGGACTAGATCTTTCAAAAAACTTTGAAAAGCCCTACAAACCTTAATAACTGTCTGACACCAAAGTTTCAAGAAAGATAAGATACATGTAACCTATTGCATCCTAAATATGATGAAATGGATGTTGTGAACTCCAATGCTAACTACCACTCATCGCTTGAAGCAGACTCAAATGACCCACGATATCGAGGCATCCACACAGGCGACTATATGCCATTTAGGTCATATGATAACTGTAATGTTTGAGAGTAGGATCAAAGGTTTCTTCTAAAGACAGAAACAGATTCAGTGGTACAAATGATAACTATGACTGTGGTAAAAGGAGAGACAAAACTTATTCTGCATACAGAGTCCGAGCTTGATTTGCTGAATATCCTGAGCCTTAGCCTTGCATAGATTGTGAAGTCATACTACCTTAGAACCCTTTTTTGAAATTGTAGACAATAAAAAAGGATGACTGGTGGGGCTGTGTGAGACTGAACAATGATGCTCAAGTATCGAGCTGTTTACTGATTTGAATTCATCTCTTGACAATCAAAAGGCATAATGCTCTGAAATGAGTTTGGAAGGATCACGCTTTATACGCACAGTATTACTAGCCCCACAGCAGAAAGTTAACTTGTAGATCCACGCTATGGTTGAAAGATTAGCAGCTTATCCTTGATACATTCATTTGTCGACTATCAGTCAGCGAAAATAACCTGCAGTTCAGCAGAAAAATATGTCGAAGTTTTTTTCTCCAGAATTTCCGCTGACGTATCACTTTTTAAGTCTACGATCATAAGCATGGGTTTTTTCGAAAACTGTTTCTATTCATTGGGAATGTCATTCTAGCTCCAAATTTTTTTCAGTAAACCTACAGGTGTTGGCATTTTGAATGAGTACTTAGTTCTCATAGTCTTGCAGGTAAACCACCCATTGTATGTTCCGCACAAATATATCTGATTCTCAAAGACAGTTGTTACTGAGTTACCTTTCTCTCGCTGATGAGTGCAGTCAAATTCTGAAATGCTTACATTGTCAGGCATATGTTTGCTTTCAGTAGATTTATCTTTGAAGAGAAAGATCTTGTCTTCCCTTCGGAAGAACATCAAGAAAGAGGAAATCTTATTCCATCTTAGAACCCATTGAAAGCTTGATTGGGCAATAGCAACTATCAGGTCTTTTAAAAGTTGTCCCTAAATCATTGTCTCCCTCTTAGATAATGAATTCATCACCCATGAATCACCTGCGAAATTCTTACTATGGGGGATCACTGGTAACCCCACTGTTACTTACAAATAGGTTCCTGCAGCTTAGTAAATGACATCGTCAAAAAAGAAAATTTTCGCTCTAAACTGCCTTATTTCTTCTTAATAACTTACGATCGTTGATTTTAAAATCCCTACAAATTTACACCAAGGCTTAAAGCACAGTCTAAGGTGATGAATTAACAAGATTGTGAGTATTCTGAGCCACTTAAAGATAATTCGATGTTAGATATCAGACGGACTTCACAAGAGAATGGTATGCTTTTCGTTATTCTATGGGTTGAGTTGCAGAGCAATCAATCTCTTAAAATTTAATCTTACCCATATTAAAAGTGAATATCAAAAGCAACATATCGATTTCGTAGAATGACAAGGTTCTGTAAATCTTTTAAGGAGATAAATACTTTCCACCCATTTTTCACGCATTAATCACTTTTATGCTGTTACCAATTACCAACTAAAGCAGTACTATAATCCTTACTTCCATGCAAAGGTTGTGATGCCAAAATAAAGAATACAAATGGGAAGTTACCACGAAACATTGCAACTGATGAGGCGAAAAAGCTGTGTGTGAAAGAATTGCGTAAACTTGAGCGTGCAACGAGTAAAACAACGGTTAAAAACGCAGAACCCTGGGCCATTCGTTTGTATGATTGGTCAGTTGTCTTTGAGGCTGAGCTAACAGAACGATTTACTGAAATTGGACAAAGATTAACCAGTGAATTGGAAGTAGGAAGAGAATCGAAAGAATCGGATTTCAGTGATTCAAGAGATTTGAACAGTAGAAATGATTTTCAAGCCAGTGAACAAAGTTTAATCACAGCAGTCGGTGAGGCATCAGCTCCGTTACTATCTGATCAACCCAGTTCCCAAAGAAGTACCAGTAGAAAAAGGAAGCGTTCCAAACACCGTAGTACCAGTCGTTCTAAGTCTAGAAAAGCACCTATAACGAGAATCCCAGTGGAAGAGTTCACATCAGTAATTGCTTCATTGGATGGACCAATCAATGATATAGTTGTTAAAAAATTGTTAGCGTTGCATGAGAAGAACTCAGATGGGTGTATCGATTGGAAAGAATTTTTAACAGGCAAAAAATATTTGAACAAAAACTACCTGCTATCGGCCTTTGAGAAGAAGAAAGGGAAAAAAAAGAAAAAGAAAGGTGGAAAAGGTAATGATATCTTTCAAATTAAGTTATTTATCATTAATTTCATCATGTTTTCATGGTTATTTTATCAAGCATGTTTAAAAAGTAATCCGATGAGTTAACAAAGCATCAGGTTAGAGGCGCCAACCCAAATTTTGTGCCTCCTGGCTTTTATCAACAAGGTATACTTGAGGCCTCTAGGGAAAATAACACTACTCATGATGTTAGAATGCAAGTTATACAGTGATACGGTCAGCTATGTTACAGCTGGCATATTAAAATGAAAACGGAATTGTTGATATGTTATTCGGTAGAAATTAAGGTCATATTATATGAAGTGATAAGTGAGTACTGTCTGTCAATCGATAAAGTTCGGTTTTCACTTAGATGAGTTAAGCCAATCACCGAATATTTTTGGACTTCTAATTTTTATCTTTTGACACTCATCAACAAATCGCATCTACATATTACAACGCAGTCCATAGTTTTTAGGTAAGAGAATGTGCTTTAACAAAAACTTACTGTTTATTTATTTGCATCACAATTACAGACATGAATCAGACACCAGATGACAGTCAGTTTCGTTTCTCGGTTGTGAGTACCTACCGAAATCTACTCATTAAGATGTGGATTCAGAACATTTTGCTAGATAATTATATATCGAGGTAAACACAGTGGTTTTATCAAGTTGATAAGTATTCTAACGAGAACAGAATGTAACATACGATAATCGAAAAAAAGATGAGTGAAAATGTTGGCATCACTCGTAAAGTTGACAATTTTTTGAATGGGAGCCCGAATATCCTACCAGAGAGATTGGAAGACTATAGAAACAATGAACTGGGTAAGTTAGCAAAAGTAACATGGTATTTAATAAAATGTTGACAGAACAACACCAGCTAGGTGAGTTAAATGACAGAAACTCAGAAAATTAAAATAGGCTTTTGAATAGATTTAAATAGAATATGTAAAACCAGGGAGATATTGTTAGATTAGGCTTTGCAAATTACATCTAAACTTGTAAGACTGCTCAAGTTTAGTTAAATTAACCATCATATTTTTGGAATACAAAAGTTATTTTTGACTCAGCTTCCTGTAACAAATTTGCGAACGTGAGACTAATCGGTATCGGTTTATTTGTTTTTATAAGAGATAAACAGCTTCTCTAGTAAATTCATAACATTTGGAGTTACATTGTAAAAGGGTAGGCTTTTTTTGAATCTACTGCTATCAGTTCTCTTTATTTTCTGTCTCTATGCTTATCAATGAACCTTTACAGCTAACTGTAAGTTTGATTGCAGCAATCACTTGGAAGCTCCAGGCCTTGTCACTCATCAGCGAGAGCTGTCTGCAACCTCAAAGTAACTGGTTTCCCACCCGAAATTCAAACCCGCGTCACGCAGTGTTGCAGTCAGAGACTTTACCACTGAGCTATTCAGGCCACGATTGAATTCCTGAGGAAGTAGACAAGGTACACTGATTGGTCACTGGATGGTAACCAACTTCATATTGTTTGGTTCTAAGTGCCGATCCGACTCCATCGCTCATTTTGCAATGTGGCCACCAGGCTGGGAGACTCAAATTCGCAAAGGACTTTGATTGATATTACTTGGGTGAAGAAGCCCTGGACCTAGGTTTGAAGTATACACTAACGCCAATTCGAATCTCAGGTGGGTGGTCAGTTCAGTTGGGTTTGCAGTAACATCATACTGACGAGTATCAAAAGGCACGAAACCTAAGTTCAGATCGTCCGGCTGTTTGCCTCCATTCAAATGACATCTATCAAAGTTCATCACGATGTTGAGTTTTCTAGCCCGGTGGCCACATTGTAAACTGATCGATGGAATCGGATCAGCAATTAGAAGCGACCAACATGAAGTTGGTTACCACCCAGTGACCAATCAACATACAGATAACTGTGCCTTGCGGAAAATGCTCGACGACGGCTAATCCTTATTTCAACTACTATTAAATAGCATTGGAATCAATGTTTTGACAAGCGACTGAATGGAAACTATTGAAGCCTAAATAAGTCTCACTGCAAGTCTTGGCCATTATTATTATTATTATTAATAAGAAACCCTTCTTTTATATGTTTTAGTTCTTAATTTAAGTCCACGTGCTGGCTAGCCACATTTTTAGACATATCATTTGTTAAATGTCAGATATCTAAATAATAGAGCTGAAAATGTCACTTGTCAGCACAGGGAATTGTATAAGGAATTAAAACATAAAAAAAGTGTTACTAGTTACTAATTATCCTCTACAGTTTATTAAGAAATTCGTGCAAACACATAATGAATGAATTAATAACAGTGATACAAATACGAGTAATAGTTACAACACCGGTAAAAGTGAGTTAAAAGCCTCTATTGGTTTAAATGAGGAAGGAACATTGTGCTCGAAACATTATTCAGTAAATGATATTAATGTATTTGGTATCAAATAAAAAGGTCTGACATGAAACTACATTTTATCTTAGTGCTGAAGTTCAACACCTGCCAGGAACAAACGCATTTTTGACCTGAGTGTCTGATATCTGGAACTGAATAACATCCAGTTGTCAAAACGGAACCAAATCATATCTTCCGTGAAACATTTACGCAAATATGGTCCTTTCAGTAATAAATTGTGTATAGAATATGCCATAGAAATAAAATATGCTGTTTCTTTTGCCTAAGATATCGTTTTCTTGATAAAAGGATGCCCGATTCTCTGTGTGTAGCAGAATATTTAAGTTTCATGCAAAGACAGTAAGCATTTCATCAATAAAGTATCTGGGATAAATGATCATTTATGATCACAGACTTGACGGTATGCAACAGTGTCGAGTTAAGCTAACGTTGTTTCAGACACATCAGTATATTTTTGGTTGGATTCCTTCTTTTCTGACAAACAAGTTAGGTTGAGTTACTGATATTCACACTTTACATTGTGAACAGCCCCAAGACCTTAATCCATTTCCACTATTTTTGATAATCCTACACGTACCTCACGATTTGATCCATTCAATATACTCTTTTCAGCTATGAGAAAGTATGTATCTATCTTTTGTCATTCATGTATTAATTTGTGGGCAGCTACAAAGAATCTTTTCGCAAGAAATGAATCCAAAGTATCTAGCTACAACTTTTTTCTTAGTTCTCAAACCACTGACTGAACGACTGGACAGTATTATTTATTATTCGAGTGGTAATAAATTGTATCACGACATTATCGAATATCCTATTGAGATATAATACATGGAAGCCATTAATTCCTGTCCAACTCACTTAACTACTAGGTACATATAAATTTACGATTATAAATGAAGATGATATTTATTCACCGTGAATTATTGTAGTTGATATGGTGTCAAGTACTTTTGCCAATTTCGCCTTCAGAAAACTAACTTTGAATTATTCTTTTTGTGATTTACTGAAGTAAACGAGTGGAATGTAGACATAGCAAACTAAATAACGACAGTGAAATGCCAATATGCTTGGACAGTAACCGAATAATGACTGCTTCCCCCTTAATTATTTTTGCTTTAGTGGGCTGCGAAAAAATCTAACATATAGGTTGACCTGAGACTGCGGGAGGATTTTACTAGGGATAATGTATTAGAAATTCCTTGTAGCTGGTGATGATAACTGTGTCATAATTTCCGAGGTTGGAATTCATTTTTGAACGTTTCGTTACCGGGCTAGACTACTTCTGCAGCACTTCATACGAAAATTTGTCATATATATATATATATATATATATATATATATATATATATATATATATATATATATAAAGAGAACTACAGCAGAATTTGTCTTCAAATCTGTTACCTGAGCATCATTTCTTTTCTTTACTGAAAGGGGTAGCTACTGATTAATACTGGTGTCAACGCAGCGAAAATACTTCGTAACCGCTTAACATGAATAAAAAATAATCTGCCGGTTCACCTAATTTCCTAAACGTTTCACACAAACGTTGATACCTTGTCAACATAAGGTATTGAATAACACACTTCTGTTTCTTTTTGCACCGAACGAAGACAAAAGCCAATTGAATGCACTACATAACACCTCTCACTTAACATTGTTGTGGTTAACTATCCTTAAAATGTCTAAGTTCAATATTTCAGAAGCCTTAAAAACGCATAAAAGAACTATTTTACTCCAAAGAAGAGTCCTTAAGCCATAAAGTACTTTCAAAGTACATTAAAGAATTTAGGTTGTATTAGAAATTCATTTAAAAATGAAGTCATTAATCAACAGGTGTGTCTTTAAAACCATTCTAACAAACGCTGAAACAGCCAAACAGTTTTCTTTTTTCCGGCCAGGAAAGTAGTTTTTCATAAAATAAGGAAACACAGTTGGTTATCTTAAGAGTTGCTTAGGTCACTCATCATCAATCACGAAATACCAGTTGGTTCTGATGTCATATATGAATACGTACCAAATTAACGGTATAATGAATAAGTGATGCTGCGCAGTTGAAATAAATCTATCTAAAGCTGTAAGTCTAACCGAGAAATAATTATAATAACAAAAGGTAGTCAGATGATAACTGATATGAAAAAATGAGATACTGATCAGTGATTCATTTTTCTTGTGAAATGTTTTGACCAATATACATGCTGTGTACGGTGGAAAAGATTTGTAGCTCAGGGTGAGAATGATGTTGGTTTTCTCTGAGCTTTGATATTTTGTCGCGAAAGTTTCGTCACCAGACTGTGACATGCTCAGCACTAACTTTTTCAAAAATGATATTGCTACAGACATGCTCAGGAAACGACTATCAAAATCCTTAAATAGAACATACTTCGCCGTCAACCTTCGAATTATTTTCTACTGCAAGAAACGTTCTGGTTAATTTGTGAAAGGCAAGTCGACACATTGGGCCACATCAGTGTGTGTATACCAGTTTATTTGCTCTTATGGAGCTGAGCACATCGGCCGTACCATGCGTCCGCTTGTAAAACGTGCTCACGGACACTACCTAGCCTGAAAGGTAAAGGGAGAACAGAAATATATCTTCAGTTCAATGACAGAACACCGCGTGAACTCAAGCCACTTAGCTCCTTTTGAGAGCTCCTTAAAAATCCTCTACTGTGTTCGACCAAAGCACTCGAAGGGAGTAAGACCAAGGGGTTTGTTTATAGCTGAAGCACTAGCCATAGTAAAGTTCAAACCAGCGTTATGTCTCCAACGTATATCTTTGGCACGGTCATCAAAAAGCTTTTTCTGTCATAGATTCAACTTGCATTAGGTAACTATACATGTATCTTCTTAATCCCTTGTTTATTTTCCTTTTCTGTCATAGGCTTATCCGGTATCACATAATTACATAATTTTCATAACCTTTCGTTCATTTTCCTACCTTTCCATATATTTATCCTGTATTGCATAACTACATGTAATTTTACGATCCCTGGTCTATTTTCCCACTCTGAACCCAAATGGGTACTGATTAACTTTCTTTAATTATTCTGTATATCCTTGTTCTATTAAAATATAACCTAGATATTAAAGAATGAAATGATCCACAAATCAAACTCAGTTGTTCAGTTTATGTTGACTTACTAAGCTATGTCATAAATAAGGTAGGAATTCATGATACTAGTTGATCACAAACACCGTAATATGTGAAGAGGAATTTTAAACTTGAAGCTATTACATCAAAGCTGGGTGAATCATACAATGGAGCGAATTTCAACGCAAACATTTATAAATATTTAAGGAAGTATTCATCATGGGCTGAAATCAGCTAGGTAACCATTCAAAAGCTGGGAACACTGGACAGTTATTCCGTCTTGATATGGGACCTCTCACCAGTATGCACCCGAAACCCCACTGGGTATCGGACTCAGGAGCTTCATGGCGAAAGCATTAACCATCCAACTACTGGATCGAAGTTCAATGGTCCACCGTATTCTACTTCTGTCAATACGTGACGTAGTGCGATTATTTATCAACGTCCCTAGTTGGCATGCATATATATATATATATATATATATATATATAATTTATGATTATCAGTTACTTTGACTACCTAATGGTTACAAAAGCACCATGAATGTTTTCATACACTTTATGAATCATTTAAATACTTTTAAATAAATTTATACTTTCAAATGAATGCCTACCGTAGGAATACTGACCATAAGTAATGTAGCCAAAAGCATCATTTTTGTACCGGAATTGATTGCATTTTATGCTGTAAATGACTCATTCCAAACTTTAGGTATTTTACTAGGCTACCTGTAGCTTAGGTTCAACTGATGCAGCTAAGACATCTGATAAGAGTTTTTTGACTGACAAATGTAAAAGATTGTGCAACCGATACTACTGCATAATTTAAGCCTCAGAAACCATGAGAGTTATTGGCTGTCAGTCCTTTGCTTCTGTTAAATATTAGAAGCGTGATGAAAATTATTTTTGACGATGTCATCCTCTGAAACTATACAGTCAGTGAAAACAAATTTGTTCGCTGAAATCTTCATTCTTTTACGAATTCGTGGGAATATCTAAAACTATTTTCGACGCTGTCTCGTTCTACGAAAAGTTTAAGACATCTTGGACAAGAAATTGATGACTGTGAAAATGGTTATTTATTAGAATCTGGGGATTGTCTTTTCTTATCACCTTCTAATATCTAAGCTCGATGGTTTCGCCAGTGCTTTAGGAAAGTGAGGACATAATAAAAAGCCATTACTATCTAAATCGATTTTTGTTTATCAGAACCATAATTAACTGTGAGACCAAACCACAACAATTTCAGTCTGCATCCCGCAAAAGGTTAATATGACGAACTGGTGAGAAGAAGTGATTTTTAAATTTTCTTATCATAGACGTTTTAACGTATTATTTTAAAGATGATATTAGCGATGTTCAACAGCTTGGCTTATTCTTCCTTTACCTTTGATCACTTTCATAAATTGTACAAAAAATTTTCAAGTTCCACTGTTTTTAATTTTCTTCATCACTTATGTGAGTTAACTCACAAGGACTTCTCAGACGGTTGTATTCACAGTCGAAAACACTTGCAGTTTCACAGTTAGACTCGTTAGAAGAGCACATCTTTATTCATGTAACTGAACTGTTGAATGTTGCCCAGTGATAAAACCAACTTTTGTAGATTTTCCAAGTGGATGACATATTTTCTAGAGGCAGTCAGCTCAAAGTTGATCAATATCTCACTAATGGTGAAAAGTGAACTATTTTCTCTCTACACTTTAAACCTCTTTTCCATATTTTTGTTTTCCTCAAGGTGTAAAACGCAGGAAAATACCTATGGATATTTGTGTGTTGCCATCCGAGGCAATCTATCGTCGTGCAGATGGCGGTCCTCCAATAATGTACATTCCCAAACAGATCCATCATACTGATACAAGTAAGTATAACATTATCCATTATATGGAAGTTTGCTATATACAAACTTTATTCCAATAAAATGATACAAAACTGATTGCCCGAGTATTTCTAAATATGTCTCTTATCGCTATGAACTACTTCTGGGTTAATTATAATCAAAGGTATTTGAGCATCCGTGTTAAATAACAAAGAAATTGTTGGTTATTTGTAATCTGCGCATACAACATCGTAGCAAATGAAATACTCTGGGTGAAGAACTATAAACTTCTTCCTTCCTTCCTAATGTTACTTCCCTTCTAACTCCAGTAGATGTTTGCTGCTTGTTATCATAATAAGGAATAACATTAGTACGGTTATTTCTAAGGATTTCATGACCTCTTACCAAAAACAACTTCTCCAGCCTCCAACTGGGAAATTTACTTCCAAACTGGTCGCTGGATTTTGGTAAATAGTACCCTTAGCTTCTCTTCTACTGACATATTATCTTTGAGTAGTAGCAGTGACAACCCTGAACTCCTGCTAAGAAACAATTATTATATTTAATCATAAAATGCTTGTGCTAGGCTAGTCACTAACTCAATGAAACCGTTTCGTTTAATATACTAAATAAAACACCATTTATTTTCCCTAGTCAAATCATCTTTTGACTTAACTTGTGAGAAAATAAAGAAACAGCGAAACTAAACCAGACTTTCATTTCTTAACACTCAAGAAGTTAATTCAGAAGTAAATAAACGTTCTTGCTCATATAACCGATTTCCTACTTCTATAGTAATCTGAAACCTCAAAAGTACTTGCAAATATTTGATGTCAGTTATATGGTTTATTTTGATACTGTAGAAGGTGGCATATTTATTTAAACGCTACAGGCTATATGACAACATAAATATAGGACTTTTTTTCTGATATTTTAAATTTCAACAAATATATTCACAAGTCACTTCATCTGAAGTAGCCTAGTTCTTTTTGCTTGTGGATATGGAATGCAAGAAAGCGACTGATAGTCTTCCAATTATTTTTTAGAAATATTTTTGTCTTCTCATTTCAGGTCGTTTTGATGCAGATCATCCACCTTCACATCCTCTCCAAGATGATTCCGCTTGGTATTTAGATACTCCAAGACGTCAGTATATAAGTTTTCATGCTGCAGCTATGCATAATGATTTGGGTAGGAGAATGTACATATACTTTGATTGTTTATGAATAAAAATCTTTCTTCTTACAAATGATATACATATATATCACCCTATAGATTGAACTAAAACCGTAGAATGCTAAAGACATAGGAAAATAAATTCCCACTGTTCTACTTCCGTGAGAAATCAACCTCTTCAGAAGTGAAATGCATATGCAATGATTCTCTTATGAGTATTTTAAAGAATATATAATCATACATTTTTAAAAACTTCATTAAGAACAAGCAAAAAGAACCTAGTGCTGTTTTTATTGAATCATTGTGTCATTGAATGCAATTACTATATACATTACCATCCATAAACAACAACTTTCAGTCATCTAATGTTCAAGATTGTCAACTAAAGGAAACGTATGTTCCAAATAGAGAGTTAAATTTACTAAAAGTGTTTTAATTTAATTTCGTATAAGATTATTTGGTTCGTTATAGCTCAAACTGATACACCGTTGTTTACTGCAAGAAGTTTCTGACGAAATTTACTGCATACACTTCCATCAATATGTTTACACACCTTTCAAATCTTCGTTTTAAAGTTTAGATAACTTACAATCCTCTGGACCCAATTATAGAAAACATTAACACATCTCTATGAAGAATATTGCGTCATTCCTTTTGAAAGTATTGCTTATTGCCTTGATATGTAAGAACCCGGTAGTCAGTCTTTTAATGCAGCGGTCTTCGGTACTGCGAATTAATTCCATAACACATTATAGTTCCATGTGCTGAATGATGAACGTCCATTCCGAAATAAATTAGAATCTATTATCTTCACCTTTTCTGAAGTCTTCTCTACATAAGGACTTATTTATGCATAAATTCTAATATATATTATGTGCAACTTTATTACATATGAATGAAAGAAATTAGTTGTTGTGTTGAAAACCTAATTTTATAGACAAAAGCGAAATACTGTTTCGCTCAATAAACGATGCATTCTAGTCAGCAAATTTCTTATTCGTTTAGTGTTATAGTAAATTTTTATGAACATGTATTGGGTTGTGTGGATTAATTTCGCATGAAAGGGATAAATTGGTTGATGAAGCTGTTAATGTGTATAAATTGATGTGGTATCGCCTACACATTTAAGATTTATATAACTTCATCTCTTTAAATGCGTGTTGAATGAAGAAATAGCAGAACCTAAGAAACCTTCATGTGACTAGGCAAACACAGTAATCCCATCTACATATTCATGTTTTGTTGATCTCAGTTCATTGTAGAACTTAAAGATTTTTTCCAGAGTATCAAAGATGGCCGAAATTGGCATATGTAAACATAACGTCACATGATCAAAAACTTCCCTTCTTTGTGTTATGTTGTAGGATGAAACCTATCTTTGGTGGTTCCAACTGTAGCATTACTTTCACTGTGAAGTTCTCATTCAAGGCATCTGGAATAACCACACTCTCATTAGGAATTTCATTTTATAACAGTTAAACATTAATACCGATAGAAAGAGGTAATTCTAAAGCCGATACCACTTACTTTTTATTCATAGATTGCTAACTTCATCATAAGTAGACTTACTATGATTGTAACTACTTCCGTTTATCACTTTGCGTTTGCTTCTCATAGATTCCATTCGCCTAGCCTTATCTGAAGGATATAAAATTGATACACGGGATAAGTTTTATAAAACACCTCTAATGGTTGCTGCTCATCATGGTAATTTAGATGCAGCTATTGAACTTATCAAACTAGGGTAAGCTAACATTTATATGTAGAGATATGTTGTTAAAATGCTTGCAGATAAAGTGCTAACACTCCTAAATTTAATTAACTTATTGAAAGTAGTTTATTGCAACGTGACTTCAGTATGCGCTCATAGTCAATTAATCATTAATAATGAATATTTTAAAAGGTTACTTGCAGTGGTTTCAGTAATATTATCGTAAAAATTTAAATAAAACTTTAACCACAACGGTAAACACGTGATAAGCATATTCTGTAACTACTCAGTACTTCAAAATAACGTATTTAGTGGGTAGATTTGCGTTCACTGAATCACTGTTGATCAGGCATTCTAATTGCTGAAAAGCCTGGTGAACCTGGTTTTCGTAAGTATACACTCAGCATTTGAGACTATTCATCCACCGTAAAAGTTAATTATGCAGACAAATTAGATGAAAATAATTTCATTTCTCCCGTAAAAATGTTTCATACAATATGCTCTTGATGTTATATTTTCTTGAAGGATGTAAGTAGGATATTAAGAACTCCTGTTATGTGTAGACAGCTACAATTATTGTGCAAAGTGTTCCAAAGATTTCCACTTCTATACCGTAATGTATCTCAAAATTCAAAGTCCATATTTTCGGCTAATGAGATATCAGCAAGTTTCATTTTTTTCTCTCATACACTTATGTACTTACCGTTGGACTGAATCAATTTACAAACGAATGTGAGTCACAAACAACATTTCCTTACAAGTAATTCGAGAAAGTTGTTCGTAATGCAATCACATTAAATGTTGAGTTTTGCTATAGCTTTGAAATTTGAAAGACCACATTAATTTCCATCTGCCATGCATTTAATCTGAATACTTTTCTGTCTGTTGAAAGTTGCTTGCAAAATTACAGATGAATAGAAAGTCAAGAATATACAAGCTAAATTGTATATTTTATAGTAATGACATGAAAATCTAGTAGTTGAAATTTATATGAGATTATTTTATTTGATACATAAAGAGTAAACTAATCTAATATGGTGTTATGTCTTATCACGCTGCCCAAGTTTTAAATCACATCAAGTAATTAAAACCTGAATCTGCATATTATCATGAAGAAATATCATGTGTACATCGTTAAAAAAAGTTAGACCGATAAAGATCTTTCAATAAAACTTATTGACTAGCTATTTCATAAGCAATAATATTCACTTAAGTGCAAAGAGCCATTTTGAAGAAATTATTGTATTCAAATCCTTTAAGATATAATTCTGTTGATCATTTCCTTCTTACTGTAGAGCAGATGTGAATGCACGTGATAATTTTCGTTGGACACCATTACATCATGCAGCTCATTCAGGGATGATTGATATGGTTGAATTATTATTAAATAATGGTGCAATAATTGAAGCTAAAGCTTTGAATGGTGCAACACCTTTATTTCGAGCTATTGAGTGTTCAAGGCTCAATGTAGTTGATTATTTCTTGTCTAAAGGATCCAAATTATTTGTAGAAACACGTAAAGGTGAGTAAAAATGTTTAATACACTAGTATCGAAAAATCTGCAGATAAAAACAGTTGACATTGCCAGTATACAGAAATAATAAGTGAATTTGAAAAGTATGGTTCGTTACAGGATTAAAATCACTAACACCTAGATCATAGAACTTATTTTCTTTTAGTTACTTGTATCGAAAGCAAATAACGAAATAATTTTGCATTCCCTATACAAGTCAACTTAGTGCTCAAAGGTTGTAGGGAATACAAGTTTGACTATCGTAATCCAGCAAACAGTCTGGAGTTTGGGTACTTACAGTTGAGTGTAGATGACAAGTAACCTTGCCTTACTGAAATGCTGGATAATTTTCAAAATGTATTTAAGAAGGCTGCGTTATATGAAGCATAGTGAGTAAAGGAAAATAAAATCGCATTTTAGCATGAAAATGTATTGTCCGAAATAAAGATCTCTATGATTGTATCAAAATCCGTACTTACCACAAGATAAAAATAGAATATGAGTAAATTTTACTATCCCTAAATTTTTCTAGGTCAGTATATTTTATGATATGGTGTTCTGTGTTAACCGGTAAACATTATTTTATTTCCGTAACATTCTATGATGACCTGTTTTAGCGAAAAATGAAACAGAAGTACTACAAATCGTTTTATGCTTCCACTTTAAAATTACCGACTGAGATTGTTCATTTTTAAAGGAAATACGAAATGTTTATGTATTTGTGCAAAACAGTATCTTTAAAAAATTTGCAAAACGGAGGAAAATATATATATAGTGTTATCCTCTATTTTAGAAAACTAGCAGTTACTTAATCTATCACTCGGATAATCAGCTTATCGTAATAAACTGGCGATTAAGTTTCGCAAGTAGACTGATAGCACCTACGACTCCTCTCTTTTTAATGCGTACGTATGATCCGGATAGATTTAGAAGTAGGTGCTGATGTCTGTACCCATAGTGGTAGAGTCTACTCTTCTCCGTCTGGTACTTCTGTACTTTATTCATCCCGCCTGCAGAAAACAATTGTAATTTTACTTTTAAATACTATCGATTTATTTAAGTTTTCCACCCTTAATATGGTTACATACATTCAAAGTTTTTAAATATCTGTGATACTTTGCCAATCATAGAATTATGAGAAGCATATTTATGCTTGTTTTCATAGTCTACCAAAAGTTCTGTGTCTTCTTAAAAGTATATGAAATTCTGGATAAGACTGACAACGCAAAAATTGCAAATATACTATCTAATATACGTTCATAATCTTATTTGATTGCTTACTATCACCTTTTGAATCTTTCCATTTTATTTAAAGTTAGTGCAACTTTCGGCCTTACTCGAAGTCAGCATTAGTAACAAACCGTTGACCAAGTACTTACAATACACTAATATACTTGTACTTAAACAAGGAGTAAGTGTTTCAACAATATTTGTAGTCCCAGCAAGCTAGGATATCATGTTCCATGTAAATTGTTGGGAACTTGCAGCTTTATACTTAAAATTATGATTTATGCACCACTTACATTGATCATCATGATGCTAGGTGACTAGTAACATTTCGCTGATTTCGTGAAAATCAAGATAAACTAGGAGAGGAGAGTAATAAATTGATTCTTAGACGGACATTTGAAATGAAGAAAAATTCGGAACTAGACAACAGACTAATTTTGTAGCTCAACTGGCACACAATCTAGGTAGTATCAGGAAGACACTGGTTGGAATTTGGCCATGATCGAGGTTTCTACTTTAACTTCGGTCATCAACCCCGCATCTTGGGAACATTGTATCAATGTAGATCATGTCACATTGCGAAATAAACAACTGCTTAAAATTTGAAACTGTGTTTCTCTGTAAACTCGCGAGATAAATTCACACATTTAATTAAGGTTTTGATGTTTAATTACAGGAGAGAATCCATATGTTGTAGCACTAAACTGGTCTGATCCAAGAGTAATAGAACATGTGCATGATAAATGGGAGTTAGCGCAAGAAGCTGCTGAAAAGCAGAAGAAGCAAGGTAGCGCCAAACGAAAAGTAAGTTTGTATGTATATATATGTATGAGTTTCAAAAATGTAATTTTTCTGGCCAGAAATTCATAAAATTTGCATTGTGTTATTGAAGTATTGTAATTGAAAGATTCGGTTACTCTAGTTGGAAGGAGTAATATAACTATCAGTACCATACTGCATCAACTCAACTTGGTGGTCTCTTCCGTCATGCAGTGAAAAAGAGTGGTGGGTTAGGCAAATAATCATGAATCTAGATAGTACAGTCAAAAAATAATGTGGATTTCAAATGAGAAAACAGAAATTTAAGATAGGGGTGATAGGTGAGGGCAAAAAACGATTAACGAAGAGCGACAGCTCAAATTGCACAAGTTTCTGCAACTGCAGGCGAATTCTTATTCTCCCTCCAACTGGTAATCATGTCCACAGTTCATTAGATGTTTCGTTATAAAAATCCTCGGGGTCATCCTTTTAGCATCCTTCGGCCATTTATGTTGGTGCTTAACCATTCAGGTGGAAAGACCCGTTTCCGTTCGACCAATGAATTTGCTCTTGCTGACACATTCGAATCGATAAATGGAGTAAAAGTTTAAACAAAATGCAATTACTCTAGAATAATTGGGATAATTCCATTCAGCGTAAGATCGCGAATACTGCGGAAACACACGATCATTTAGTATATCCAAAGTGGTGAGTAAAATTCTTTCCACTGAAGAAAAGTAACGCTCATAGATGAACAGTATTTGCTGGCGAAGAAGAAATTTCTCTCTTGATGAGTATGTTGACAAAATGGATGGAATCTTTTGAAATTTAACTCTCGGAATTCGAATAACAATTCTAGATAATTTAAAAAGTTGAAACCAAACACACTTCATTCTTTCTTAAATACAAAAAATAAAATAAACGTTGTAAAATAAGACTTAATATCCATGTCATAATAGTTTTGGTATGAACTGTTCACTAGATTGTAACGTATTGGCGACCTGCTTAAATTTTGGACTACCAAAAATAGTTAGTCAATTTGACCTATATAACTAGTTCACTGGTTTCTAGCCGGTCCTAAGCCCGGGTAAAGAGGGAAGGTTGGGCATAGGGTTAGCAACATTACCCCATAAAGCCAATCTAACCGTCAAAGAAACTTAAAAGTACAATCAATATATAAAACAGCGTAAAAGTAATTCCTCGCTGGAATCGGAGAGGCGAAATGACGCCGGTTGGTAAAAGTCTTCGGGAAGCTAGTTGGTCGATGTGTCTTCGCCCTCTCGATGAAAGCGAAAGTAAACATAGTGACATGGAATGTCCGAACAATGTTTGAAGCTGGCTGGCAAAGTTGCCCAGGCTGCAGAAGAGATGAGAAGGTATGTCATAGAAGTGCAAGGCTAGGGATCTGCAAAAGCAGATGGAATAGAGGTTGACTCTCCAATCTGTGAACTGGAGGGTCAATCATCTACTCCGATATTGTCACCCAGACGACAACCACAATCGAAGTGGGTCATAGATTGGATATCACGATGTCTCCAAGAACATCGAAGGCTATCTCTCATGCAGTCAGAACCAATCTCCTCCTGCAGGATCGTGATAGCAAGGTTCAACTCAAGAGGAAGGAAAGTCGCAATCATACAATGCTACACGCCAACAAATAATGCAGATCAAGGGAAGAAGAAGGAATTCTCAGACAAATGCAATTAGTAATGGACAAGCTCCCACTCCAGTTGATGTCATCAAAATTCTAATGGGCGACATGAATGCCGAACGTGGAACGGACAACACAGGAAGAGAACCAATCATGGGTCGAGAAGCACTCGGTGAAATGAATGAAAACGCAGAACTATTTACAGACTTCTATGCATTCAAATTTTATGGTGATTGGAGACAAGGCAGTAAGTACAAACACAAGAATATTCACGAAGTGACACAGATTTGATTTCACTAGTTGAACACACTAAAAATCAGATAGACTTCATCTCAATATTGAGAAAGTGTAGACGCAGCCTACTGGACGCAAGATCAGAATAAGAAGAGGATCAGATGTAGGTTCAATTACTCACTATCTAATGCAAGGAACCTTCAGAATCAAGTTGAAAGCCTTCACCGAAGTTGGTGATAGACCACAGTTCAAGTTCAACACCCAGAACAGAAACTGAAGGACGAAACTACAAAGGACATCACTTCAGTCATAAGGACAGAATGGGAGATATTGAGCAACATTCTTGAGAAAACCTGTGTGGAAGAACACTGGAACTCTTTGAAAGCCATGTGGAAAGAAACCTGCATAATCGTATTAGGAAGAAAGAAGTAACAAGACAAGGAATGGATCTCCACAGACACATGGAAGCTGATCGAGTACGGCAAGAAAGAGTGTGAAGCAGAAGATGAATTAGTGGAAGAATGCAAGACGAAAAGACAAACTGAGTACAATGTAGAGAACACTGGACGAAGAAGTGAAGAACAGTGTACGAAAAGACAAAAGACACTTCTACGACACATTGGCAAGTGAAGCAGATTATGCTGCTGGTAGGGGAGACCTGACAACACCATACCAAATAACCAGGTTACTATCTGGGAGATAAAAGGGTCAACGCAGACGAAACCAATGAAGGATAGTGAAGGAAAGCTAGTTACCAAAGAGGAGAAACAAAGGAAACAATGAGCTGACCACTTCAAAAGGCTCTTGAATCAACCACCGTCACCACCTGAAACTTGTACAGAAATACCAGCAGCCACGGCAGGACCATCAGTGAACACAAGCCCTCCGACAAAAGCCACAGTCCTGAATGCCATAGAACTGCTGAAATCCAAGAAAGCAGCAGGTCCAGATGGGACTCCGCCAGAAGCACTGATGCAGAGACAACAGCGGACATGCTCACACCATAACTGCGGAAGTTTTGGAAGGAAGGAAGGGAAGATACCTGCAGATTGGAAGAAGGGCTGCCTTGTTAAAATTCCAATGAAGGGAGACCTAAGTCTGCAAGAACTGGCAAGTAATCATGCTCCACCTCTGTCTACCCCTAAGCAAAATATTATGTCGCATCATCCTGGAGAGACTAAGAAATGCACTGGATTCAAAATTGTGACCGGAACAGGCAGGCTGGCTGGCTTCAGGAAGGACAAATCATGTGGGATCAAATTCCAACGCTTCGCATCATCCTAGAACAAAGCATAGAATGGCAGTCAACCCTCCACTTCAACTTCATCGACTTTGAGAAGGCCTTTGACTGCGTCGACCGAGAAGTAATTTGCAATTGCTTCAACACTACGGAGTACCACAAATCTTTGTCAACCTCATTCAACAGCTATATGACGACGCCAGATACCAGGAAATCCACAATTGAAAGCTCGGTGACGTCTTTGAAGTGAAGATAGGAAGGAGTAAGACAAGGTTTCTGCCTACCATCATCCATAATCTTTCTGATTGTGGTCAACTGAATCATGCAGCAAACCGTGAGGAGCAAGAAGATGGGCATACACTGGCTGGACCGATGAAAAGGCCCTAGAAGATTTGTATTTCGCCGATGATTTATGTCTAATGTCTTGTCGCACGAACTCGAAGGTCTACAGGCGAAAACTAATAAGTTGACAGAAGAGGCAGGGCAGCGAAGACGGGACTTCAAGTGAATGTAGAGAAGACATAGTTGATGTAGATACTTAACCAACAGCAGCATCAACAACAAGAGGCACCAGTCACCATCAACAGGAGATACCTAAATGAAGTAGCCGTTTTCACCTACCTAGGCAGTCAGCATCCTTCGATACTGAAGATCAGATGGCCAGGGTTGCTGGCCACGAACCAACCAAGAATCCATCCCCCAACAAATATGCAGAATAAAGTAGAGATGGATCGAGCATGCACTAAGAAGACCATTTAGAGACATCACGCGCCAGGTCCTGGAGTTGGATCCAAAGGAGAAGTGACGAGTTGGGCGTCTGAGGTGACAGTGACATGGAGGAGATCATGTGAAGAAAAAATAAAAGCTTCTGGCAGTGGTAGAGCCAGGTTGAAAAGACTGCAGAGACGAAAGTGAAATGGAGACGTGCTACTGAAGCCCTATCTTCCACTAGGGACTCAAGGGACAAATAATAATAATGATGACAATAATATTCTTTCTGATCATCTGATCTTCGATATAGGGTGAGCATATACGGCAACTTTTGATGTATGTCTGAAGTTTGTTGGAAGTGGTCAGGGTGCATTTACTAATTCTTTCTAATAAGCTGTATCACTAACGAAATTATCAAGTTTTAATTGATTGATATTTTGTGTATAAACGTAATCAGAGATAACACGGTAAGAATTTTCACCTACTAATAATAATATGGCATTTTTTATTCGCTTAAATTAATTTCTTAACATTTGAGTTGGTGTCTACAGATTTCTGTGTTTAAGGATATTTTCCCCTCTGAATTCAGTTGACGGAAATATATGATAAATAATTTGTTCCAGTGGCACACCTTCATGACTCAGAGGGATGAAGACCAGCACCTTCTCACATGACTGTGGGGGTGTTATGTTGTAGTTCCGATAAACAGACCTCATGATTGATGACGATTACTTCACAACCTATAGCAAAGTGTAATTTGCTTAGAGTCATGTGTGTAACTCAGTAGTAACAATTATTTGCTCATAAGGCTCAGGTGATCAGTAAACGCCAAGCTGAACGCTGTCAACGATGATAATTAAAACTGATCACTCAAGAAGAACAAGCATAAGTGACTCCAAAGGTCTCCCTACAAACTGGCGAATTAACCAACTGGGTATCCCTGTTCTTGCTTAACAGGCATTTCTCTAAAGGATAAGAAATCTAAATGCGATTTCGGTAGTTTGCAGGATGGTTCATAGACTAACATAGCAAGCACTTTTTGATAATTCGAGTTCCAAGGTTCCATCTCAGAAAGTTTTACGGATGTAAATCCTCTACCTAACTGCGGGTCGAGATGAAACGGAGTCTCTTTTTCGACACTTAAGTACTTATGTTTTTCAAAACAAACTTTGAAGCTTCTTAACTTCCTACTTAAGAGATTGTCAGCAATATGGGTTACTCTGGTTTAAAATAGGAATGTTGTGTCATATAAACGTTTCTCGAATATTCAAGAGCTGAAGTAAGCTGTATATTAACTGACATACCTAACATAAATATACAGTGTTCCATATTTCTGTGTGCCAGAATAGTGTTTTTGCGAATGTAAAGTTGGTCTTGCATTCCCTTGTTACATCACATACTCAGGCTGAGTAAAATGCTAACATAAGTATTTGAAATCGGTTCATCTGTTCCGCAACTAGGTGGAGGTAGACCTTATTTTAACCAATGGAAAAATTACAAAATTTCAAATTTGTTAAAATTTCATACATTTAGAAGAATATATCCATTGCCTAATTGATATAATGACAACTGAATAGTGGAGCTTTCAATTATGAAAGGTTAGACGATGTATACAAGTTGGGTGGTAGGTGTTGATCGAAACGGCTATCAGAGGCAACCGATCAAGTTTATCAGACCAAATCAGACTATTTTGCAGTGTAATGTCCGGTTATGGATTGATCGGCTGATGACTTACAGTAGATATCTGGAACCGGCTATTTATCATGGTGATTTATTATTCTGCTTAGACGTACCATCACTAACCCGGTCGATAGACTTCGATTCGTACGTAGGACTTGATCAACACCAATGAAAGTTTCCAACCGACGACCAATCTATGTGCGCAATCCAGATAACCAAGAGGAAAGCTCAAGTTCTATTGGTGTAGCGATCTCTGAATCTAACATTGAAAAATACATAGTTTTATCTCTGAGGGAAAAATCTTTCCCCCAAAGTTGAAGGAACGCCTTGCTAATGAATGTTGACAAGTACAACACCCCAGCATGGGACATCTTGACTACAAACTTCGAACATGTGAAACAAAAAGTATGCATAACAGTTTGTACTTTTAGGTGTTACTGCTGACATATAATGAATATAACTCACCATTTACTTCATGTGTGTATGGATCCAATATAATTCCTTAGTGTATCGAACTTTCAACTGACGTCGATTAGATGCATAGTAAGCCTTATCATAACGCATATTATACGTCACAAAGTAAAGCATTTATGAAATTACTCATAGCTTTTTACTTATATGAGCTTTTCTTCACGTCTATGTGAAGTTAAAGGGCAAATACTGCAATATTCTCTGCTGACCACTCAGTATTCTTGCAAATGACTCCAACCCAAAACATTCACTTATCTGGGTGGGAACTCTTTTTCACATTTTGTCAATTTAGTACATCACCATATATATATATATATATATATATATATATATATATATATATATATATATATATATATATATATATATATATATAATTCAGAATATAATTAATGCTTGATATTCGTAACAAATAACTGTTAAGAACAATCAAATCGCTTTACGAATTAGATTTAAGACAGGAGGAGGTTATCTATGATAAGCTGCTCTTTTTAAACACTTGAGTAAATAAAGTCACGTAAACTGTTATGAGACGATTGATGAGAAGCTCTACAACAAGGTGTCTTGTTTATCGCCACTCGTCAGCAAGACATATTTGCAGCCTCAGCCTCTCAGGGGTTTATAAGCTCATCGTCTGGTTCTGTGAATACTTGTCACCGTAGATATGTCTTACTGTCGACAGTCAAAAAACATGAAACATTTCTATGGCTTTCTTTCAATAACCTCTAAAACCATTACTTCAGTTTTAGGGTAACCCAATGTCGAGTAAAGCAGTTTAATGACAGATTGATTGATAGACTTCAGTGTAAACTCAAGACCCGATAAAATAACACTCATGACTTTCCAGTGGCTAATCAATGTACACTTACACATAGCAATATAAAGTGGTTAAAAGATCTATTTACTAATCGATCACTGTAATGACTCAATTGGTTATCCCTGTAATATATTCATTTGTTATTCTAATCTAGCGTTTGTATTGCACTTTAATGCTTAGTTTTCTTTTAGAAGCGCTTGCACCAGCAGTGATGCATAAAATAATTGCTAACACATTTGATCCACTCACATACTACTCGTTATTAAACGCAAAGTTACGTTTAGTAAAATGTTAATAAATGCTGCCATTATTGTTTAACGTCTGTTCAAAGCATCACAAATACCAAGATATTCGCTCACACACACATTTTAGTTAAGATACTTCACCTATTTAACTTGAGAGAGAGAATTATATATCTTTAACGAATGTGGAAAATCACTTTTCCTTGAGTGTTATTAAATTATGCAGTCTAAAAACCACTGAACAACCTTTTTACTTTTATCTATTACTGATGTGTTTTTCGCACACTTGTCAGTACTTTGTCGTACTGTTGTTTTTATCCAGCTTTTGTGAGAGTAAACTTGATCAGTTGTTAAATATTTTGTCATACAGAAAGTAAGTTACAGATATTTTAGAAACTGATGATGTAACAACTGCAGTACTCGTCCTTCTAAAGAAATGCAACAAATTTATTCCTCTAGAATGGCAGAACACTGTACAGCATCCATACATGAAGTTGGTCTATATCTGTTAAATCATTGGAAGTTTACCTTTCGTGAACATGTACGAGTAGAGATAATGACAAAGCTAAACAACACTGAGTGCAGAACTGTCGTAATAGATTCACCATTTTCTAGTCTAACAACAAAGAAGCTAAAATCAGTCACAGTAGTCGGTAAGGGATTAGTAAAACATCAGTTCCGATTTTAACTTGTCAGTTTCGGACAATAAAAAATACAAAGAATGAAACGCACTCGACAACTTTGTACACATTCGTGCAGTAGGCGGTAAACCATACCTGTTGCGTGAGGGCTAAGAACACTACCTAGGTGTTCAAACCTTGATAGGTGCGGCAGGGTTCGAACCCCTGGTCCACTGGTTGGTATTTATCGCCCTAAACCACTGAAACAAAAACATTATTGAGATGGAAAATGAAGCTAAACAGAACGCATGAATTATATTACTGACTTCCAGCAAGATGTCATTTGAGGGACAAATATGACACCTTTGAAAATAATGAAGTGAAATTCAAGAAACGTCAGTTCACTGAATGTGTGAAGAAACTTATATTCCCGAAAAATACTTTCAAAAATATGAAAGCTTAACTAACAGATAATATCAAATCAGCTAAACGGGATGTAGTACTGACTTTCATTCCTCATTAAACGATAGCGAATTCCATAGTGTTTAAATACTAATTTCAGAAGAAATTCATCTGAGTTGTTATTTTTAGCTTGCATTTCGTTCAACATGACCACCTACATGGAAAATACACTTAACATTTTCTTCTTGATACAATTCAGGGTCTGCTGAATGCCTTGAGCAGAAATCTGTGTTTGTTTGACTGACATGCTTTTCACACCTGTCAAATGTAAGATTATGCTCCAGGACTGGTCTCAGCTTAATGAGGAGTGGAATGTGTCCACCACTTCATTTACTTGGGAAGTTGTATCAGCCTCAACTAGCTCCTTGCTGACGAAACCTCAGCTCGGATATAGAAGGTATGTTTTACATTTGCCAACTTACGTCACCTCTGGCATCGGTGAGATATCCGGTTACCTATCAAAAGACAAGTATACTACCCTGCGGTCTGTTCTGTCCTGTTGTACGGATGACATAGCTGTTAAAAGAAGACGACATGAGGTGCCTCCAGGGTTTTCATCATCGATATCTTCGTAGCATTGTTCACATTTGGTGAAATTACCATGTGAGCAGTGTTGCGGTCAGGCGAAAGGTACTACGCAAGACAATTGGCAGGGTTGTGAACGTTAGTCAACTGAGATAGCTTGGACATGTGTTGCACATGCCGAGCCACCGCCTACCTCAATATGGCACCTTGATTTCATGCACCTGCTGTGAGAGGTTCTACGTTGATTTTGTCAGTCAGTCAACCAGATCGTTACAATTATGTTGTGTTCTATTCCTTTGAATATACTCTTAACACACGTAATATACTTCTTATAGTTGTTTTAGGATGCATACTACTCCCAAGAGAATTATTTGTACTAAGGAAACGTTAGCAAGACTCGATGAGAAACTCTTTATTTACCACCAGACTATAGTAGAATGAAGTTGAAATTAAGCAACGATTTGATGTCAAATAGTTGCCTGTAATTATCCAAAAATTGAGTCTGCAAATCTCATGCCTATTACCATGAATTAATTGATATATCTGAAAACTTGGGAGAATGTATTTTTGATTTGATGCTTGAATAACACTTTCAAGTTAATAACTACTCTGAACCGACTACCAAGTGGTAAATATTTTAATATTAGTTAGTTATCACTAATTCAGATTTATCAATTCAGAGATAGTGTTGTTTGTATGCCATTAGTTAGAAGTGGAATCTGGAGCACGCATTCCGTCCTATTAAGCATTCATCAGACAGATTTACTGAAATCCGGTTGAGTGATAATGACTCAACAGAAATACGAACACTACCACCTATCGTTTCAAATACCATAATTTTAGTCAACAAGCTACTGAGTTACGAAAATGTGTAAACTACCTTGTGATTTTGTTTCGTTTGAATTCCATAGCGAGGTAAGTTAAAAATAACAGTTCGTCATGAAACGTGTAAATCGGTAGTGAATGCACCGACATTACCGGTGAAGGATTTAGTGTGCTACCGAGCACTATTAGGCACGTGAATTCAGCCAAATGCTTTCTAACAATTACCTCTAACCAGCAAAGAAGTAATGCATCACAATCAGACGTGCAGTTACTTAGAGCAGTGACTACACTTCAGTTGGTAATGGGAACTAACCAGTATGAAGTTAAAATCCGCTTACTCATTCTTATCGAACGACACTCTCAATTAGTATTATTTTACCAACTATTTTTCAACTAATAACCCTATGTATTTTACTTTATTTCAAGCGACCAGGCACAGCCAGATCAACTGCCTCAAGTAAACGTGCATTATCTGCTAGCAGAAAATTTCTCCCACCAGATAATCTACCTGGTTTATATCCTAATTTATTAGAAAAGCCTTTTGATTTATCCAATTTAATCAAACACACACGTTCATTGGAGAAAACACTCAGTACACAAGATATACGTATATGTCCCCGTTATCCTTGGCTGCTTAAACCCAGTCGTGAAGAAAGATTAGCGAAGTTAGCTGAAACACGTGAACGATATGGATGGGATTATGGTTTACCTGGTGTTCTATTACATCCATTTGACAAACATTTAGCTAGTCGTTTTCAAGATATTGAAGTTGATCCGCAGCAGTAGTCCTCTTGTTGACATTTTTTACCATGCCTAACGATAGTGAAAATAAAGACATACCAGAATCTACTCAGGCTTGATAATGAAATAAATCAGTACTTTCTTAGCACGCTTTTTTTTACTCACTTCATTCTACTGATACGTTTAGTGGTATTCGATATGAGCAGCTGAAAACCAGACACACTAATTAGTAACATCACAAATACTAAAGTGCTCTATAAACATTTAGGGGATTCTGAAATTATTTATCATGCTTATGGGCACTCAGTGAGACTTATCTACAAACTCACTAGGAACTTATGCTTCTTAAGATCTTTTGAACCCTCACCATCCAGCTTCGTGTTCAAAAAGTGCGATCAATCAGCTGCTCATATACCTTTGACGATTACTAACAAATTCCATGAACCACACCGCACTCCTGAATCGCTAGAGTGGGATAAGGCTAAAAGTAAGGAGGCCAGAACAGCACATGGTATAAAAATTATGAATTAAAAACCTAATCTAAGCTTTGAACTAGAGACCCACTTATGTGGAGTTTTCAGTTGTTGTATCGACCAAAGAACAAGAGGAATAATAAAAGCATTGTACCAAGCTGCTTATACTTATTTCTTGATTTGTCGAAAACAAATCACGTGCCAAAAGACAAAGACAAGAATCCACAAATGTGTGATCCTCCTCTCAGTAGTAACAATTATTGTAAGGGTGGATAGATTCATATGCAAAGCGAAATCGACCAGTGTACGAAAATTCCGCTTTATAGCAAATGAATAGTTACGTTTATTCTTCGAAATGGCGAATTCTTTATAATCCATAGAAAGTGCCCCCGATGACTTCTGTGCGTTTCGAAGCAAGTTGTGTATCAATCGGAGTCAATTGATTATGAAGTTTTTTCTTTTTTTGCTTAATTAAATCCGAACTTGAGGGCAAATTGGTGGTATTAAAACATCTGTTCTACAGCTATGGGTAAATTTAAATCATCTGACCTATAAACTCAATCATTGACCAATACAGTAAAATTAAGACTTTCATTTGATTGAATTCGACACATCTACCAATTCAGACACAAATGGAATTGAATATGATGTAGTTTGTAGCATTCTTAAAAATTGAATTTCGCTTGAAAACATCTGAAATTTATTCTACAATAACACAAGTTTTGAATGTTATTATTAGGAAATGTTTGTTTCTTCCTAGAATTTTCATCAAATTCGGAAGTATTTCAGTCACATTTGAGCAATATGGCAGAGTATAGTTCCATGAGAGCCTGTTTAACATGTATAACGCAAAGGTATTACAGTGTTATTTATTTAAAAGGCTAATAGACCATATCATGGGACATTTCTCTCTCCGCATCGATAAGAAATCAGAGATTGTTTGCTGAACCTTACAGTTGCACTGCTCACCATCTGTAAGAAAGACGAAGTGGTGCTTTCAAAATAACCTAAAATAATATGCCTGCACTCATCCATGTCTTGTTAACATAATGATCAGACACAACAACAGGCGACTTAATGAAATCGCTCCAGTATCACAATCAATGGAACAACAGATCAGTAAATACACAGATCAATTCCTGAGTGGCCAAAAATTTCTTGTCTACATTGCAGTTATCGTCCTTATCATGAAGACAAATAATAAAAAGAAACATATCGACATATAAGATAGGTAGAAAATATCTCCACGTTGATTAATTTAATACCCTAAAGGCATTGTATACATTTACACAAATCTTAAGACAATAATAGACAAGCCTTACACATATCAGAAAAAAGTGGCGTAAAACGTATAAATTAGTCGCTGAGAGAGATATGAGATCACATGGTACTGAGGACACACAGAATTATAACAGAAAAGAAAAACATCAATGGTATAAATGAATATCAGACCGTCGATTTACAGACTTTAAATTTCATAATGAATACTCCTGCCAATTACTGACCAAGCGTAATTACCATAGCTAACTCAGATGATCATAGAGAAGACTTAAAGAGAAACGCTATTTGACCAATGAATAAAATGCAACGGAGTCGACATTCATTTTGCGAAAACATAAACAAAGTGTAGATGCATCAACTACATTCAAAGTATTTTGACTGGCATCATAAATGAAATTTAGAATAGTCATCTCCTTTAGTTGACTTTTCATCACTACAACATATCAGTATCCCGTTAAAGGGGTTGAAGTACATGTGACAAAGAACGTGACATAATACTGAAGATCCTACAGTTACAGAACAAAAAAACACCATCACAGTACAAATACTTTGCTTTAAATATATTAAGCCAATCAATGTGAGCATGGAACCTGACAATACTACATAACAGTACACATTGACATATCAGCATATCAATATGGAAGGCAACAAAATTAAAGTAAAAATGATGAAGTAAGTAATCAAAAGTAGTAGAATGTCGTAAGAAGGGCGCAAAAAAGGCTTTCAGGATAAATAAATTTACATAATCTAAAGCTTTTCATATATGACACTTAATAATAAGATAAATATAAAATCTGTATCGTTTAAAAATAAGTATACAGCTTAAATACATTGAAATACTTCAAAAGGATAGAAAACGAAAACAAAATATAAATGCAGTGATAAAAGCAATACAATAGCAGTAGTAACAGTACTAGTAGCAGTAGATGGTGATATTTTCCTCCACTTTATAAGGCACTAGCAATTAAATGTGAAATTCTTAATGGATAGTTAAATTGATGAAAATTTTTCACAAAATTTTTTAATCGATTTGCATGTAGTGAACAATGCTTTGGTATAGTATGACATTCACGCAATGATTCATCCATAAAACTATACTGGTGATTATAGAATGAAGAACTGCTCAGCACCGATTGACCATAAGATGTTTGTATAATAAGCCAATAAAAGAATATATCTTCACATGTATCCAATTCATCTATGAATGCTTTAATGTGATCCGCTAAAAGATTTGTATACAGATGCAAGTAATGCTGTTGGAGAGAAGTGGAAAAAGAAAATACATTACAGAAAGAGTAATAATTAGTTAAAATACTTGCTGTAACAAACAGGAAAACAGTATATAGATAATCCAAATGAACTGCTTTATAACATAGAGTTTTAGTCGTTAAACTTTTCGCTATAGTTATAAACGTTGTCAACGATCGAAGTGTACATAGAAGTTACTATGAACAAATTATTTCATGATGAAATGCGAATTTAATAAGCTCATGACGCTTCATTAGTTCACTCTAAGACTCATTATTTACAAGTTATTGAGTGTCCAAGTGGTAATCATGAAAAGAGGCAGTGTTTGAATAAACTAAGGAAAATGATGTAACTACTGACGACACTGATTAGATGTAGTATATGCTATTTGGGAAATAAACGCAAGAGTCCAACCTTAGCTCTATCAGTAGCATCCTGATACCTATACATACATCAGTCGGTTACATATGTTTTACCATAGCACTACTCATGGTCTTTTTACTCTCCTGAAGTCTATGTTCGATATTATAGGGGTTAACAAACTGAATGAAGAAAAACATCAACATCAGTGACATAATATATCATCTATTCTTATGGTCATTACTTACTAGAATGCTACAGTAACATGCACTATCCGGATGAGACTTGGAGTTCGTTGAATGATGATAAAAGAAAAGTCCAAGAACTGCATAAGATAGAAATCGCATCACTTAGGAAGTTCTCAGACACAACAGTCAATTAACAATGAACGTCTTCATCGTTAATCGTTGCTGCAAATGATCTAATTTCATAACCATACACACCTACGGTTAGACAATGACGGCTATTTTACACGTAGATTATTCAACCAGCCTCACTTGTAACAGAAAAAATCCTATATATGCTGAAAACATCTTGGTTGAAATCAAACATACTGAATTAAGATGATTAAGTCATTATGAAATATTTCTATGAATTAATAATGACTATCCGAGATGGCCACGGTTCGTCAGACCTGTACTAATAATACTAGGCGATGATTGAAGATGACATGAAAAACTGATTCGCGACATGATCCAAACCACTGGCCACCAGGTTGTCGATCAGTCACTATACAAAGCTATGAGATAGCTGCTGAACAGATCCTAATTTCACTTTAATCACCAAGGTTTTGCCCGACTGCTATGATGCGTAACTGACCAGTCATCGTATTCACGCTGACTTCCCATCCAGTTCTTACTACACTCTGAATCGAGCTGAATCAGAGCACCATACTGATGATCAGTTTTACTAACTGAGTTAGCCGTGGTATAATAGATTGGTTTTATTGATAGTGGATGATGATTAAAGTTAAAGTGAAGGCATGGCTAGGTTAGCCGGTAAATCGCCGGGTAGGCAACTCAGATGCCACTTGAGCTACTCTTGTCATAACCCAAGTTTTCATTTCACCTTCAATAATCATCCAGTATCAATTTCTATAAATACCTACATAGCTGAATAAATCTAAAAATCACTGGTGGTGGTTCGTTATGAAGTTAGTGCTGAAGATGTCACGATAAAATATCAAAGCTCAGAGGACACCAAAACCACCATCATTCCCCTCCTGAGTCAAAAATCGTTTCCATTATTTTATAAAAGACTGAATACCTTTAATAACCATTAAACGACTTGACTAAGATATGAAGACAAAGGATTCATGTTCGATACATAGTGCAGTTTTTAAAAGGGAAAAGTGTTTTCGTGCTTGAAATAAACTTCACATATTCTTAAGTCAACTAGGAATTGCTGAAAATCTTCATAATCGATAAGCCTACTTGGTAGATTCGAAAAAGTCCCTAAAGTATGGGCTAATATCTGACTGGTTAGTAACACAAAATTGATGATAAAAGTTTTTCTACAAACCCTATCAATACGAGGACCGCCTATAAATATATAAAAAAGGATTTTTGGATACGTTAACCTTGTAATAAATCACCAACTATTTAACAGCTTTTGATAAACTGAGGAACTAGTGTAGTTGAATGACCTTAAAGGCCACCCTAGCAGTTGGTGAGAAAACCAATTGCGTTCCACTGTTCCATGAAAAACTACCTTCCCAGTCGAAATCCTGAAGTTTGATTGGTTAATTTAGTAGTTGTTAAGATGGCATTTAAAATCCTAGTGTGGTTAGATTAGAAGATTGTTGTACAAGCGTTTAACTGCACAATTAAAAGAATCAAGACACATGCCATTCATAGTGAAATGCATAAACCTAAAGATGATCAATGGGTTACTCTACCTTATATAAGGGTGTTTGTGAGCTGTTGTAGCATGACAGTAATAAGCGCTCCCATGCCGCGCAAAATTCATGCGCTGGTTTCGATCTCTAATTGAAGAGGGTCAAAGAAGTTATCTACACATGACTCTGTGACTAGCATACAAGTGCCAATACTCGAAAGTTCTCAAAATAATATAAGAAAAATAAGACTATGGATATAAATCGAACATTCAAATTCTCTTTATAAACCTTGAATAGGCTTATGTACAAGGTTATCATTAATAAGTTTCTAAGACTAGCACAATGAGAACATCATTCACCATATAACATGACATGATTGTGTTCAATAGGGTTTTCATCAGCCTCAAATAACCTGAATACATCACCGAATAATTACTGAAATAAATATGAGTATTCCCTAAGATAAACTACGCAATGCTTCGGAGGCTAGAAAAGACCAGAATACAAAAGAGGTTTAGGTAATAAGATTCCATCATAAAATAAATGCATTTTATACAAGGCAATGTGAGGAATGTTCACGAAGGAGTAGGGTAAGACTTGAAAAAAAATAACAGCGGTTACTCAATCTTGGTTGTATTGTGTTCTCTGAGTTGGATTGTCTTGTCATGCAGCTCTCGTCGCCTTTCTAGACGATATCATCAGCACTAACTTCAGTATGAAGTGAGCTGTCAAAATCCTTACGTGAGTGATTCAGTAGCTTGCCCTGAAGAACTGGTTTGTGATTGGTTTTTTTCCTTTGATTGTTGTGTCATTGATTGCATAGATTTTCTTGTTGGCTGTTCTTGTTTGACCTCCGACCTTCCTGATGTTTATCACTTTTCCTATTGATTGATAGATTGGACCTACGTCTATACACCTATTAATTGCTGACTGATTTGAATGCCAAGCTTCTAGGAATTCGCTGATATTCTTTGTATTTCCTCTGTCCAAGATTTCTATATTGTCAAAATTGAATTCATGTCCACAGTTATCCATGTGCATTGAAATGAGCGACGAAATGTCGTGACGTTTAACAGCTAATTGGTGTTCACATGAACGAAGACGACCACTTTGTCCAATGTAGTGTTGATAATGATTATTGCAGTTGATTTTGTCAATGATGTTTAGTTTGTCTTCTTTGACTGTTGCATCGTTTGGTATTTATAATATGGTTTGAAGGTAATTTGTTGGTTTATGAGCCACGTCAATTCCAAGTGGTCTCAGTTATCTTGTGATTGCTGATATATTCCTTATGTACGGTAGGACCAACCGTTTTTTGATTTCTGTCGATAACTTTGAAGCTGATGATGCACGGGATTGGCATCTTCTGATAAAGTTTCGTGCGTAGTCGTTCTTCTTCGGGACAGACATCAAGTAATTTTTTTCGTTTCTTAATGAAGTGTGTTCTCGTTCTTCTGAATATAGTCTGCCCAAAACTAATTTTATACGTTGATGGGTTGTTGTTACTGTAGTTGAGGATTTGATCAGTGTGTATTGGCTTCCTGTACACTTGGGTTTCCAGTTTTACGGCATTCGTTCTACTGGTTAAAACTTCCAGGAGTGGTAGTTGGTTGTTCGATCCCTTTTCCATTGTGAATTTGATTCCAAACTGAAATCAGTGCTGACGATGGTGTCTAGAAAAACGATGAAAGCTCCACGATTAAACAATCCAGCCCAAAGAACACAATACAACCAAGACCGTCCACCTGAGCTACAAATATTCTCCACGGTTACCCAATCGTTTGATCAAACATTATCGAAACAAAATGATAAGTACATGAGATAAATTATCGTAATAGTAACAATAGTCACTTTGAGAATAAAACGATGAGAACGGATGGAGGTAAACACAAAGCAAATTTCTGGAAAGGGTAGGAGAGTAAAAAGTCACTAATTACCAGGGCAATGTAGAAGTGGCGGCCAGAATTGTGTTCAAAAGCTAGTTTTCCATTAACTTTCCTTATTCATTTATTACAGTAGTGTAAATCCTATGACCATAGTAACTTTCGGGTCATTTGTATCTTGAATTATTGACTGATTGACAAATACGTAAGGCAAACGAAAATTTTCTTTTTCTCAATTACTCACCAACTTGCCAAAAATCACCCGGTTTAAAAGCTTTCAGATTGCAGAAGCGATAGGAACCGGTATTAGACAATCTGGGTTATGCGGTCAGAAACGCTCTATCACTACAACTACCTTGACCAATTCAGGATTCATAAATTTCTAAGTGTCCTACCCCATGTAAGTAATTTTCAGCCCCATACTGTAGATATACCGTCATCCACATAATCTGAAATAATTTTATTAAATTCTCTTTACTTATTCTGTTCCCTAACATGAGTAAAACTCCGCTATATTCCAGTCATCACTTGTTTTAACCTTGTAGTGACTACCTGATACAACCTCAGTCATATAGGTGGATGCTTATACAATAACCTTCAGACTACACTCCTCGATGGACGCTCGGCTTTCTCGATAAGTAGGAGAGGCGGTAAGATAACAGGTGTATCGCAACGTCAAATATATATACAAAATACAAGGATTTTTACATATTTACAATGGCCTAGACTATTTCCAGGTCTTTCTAGCTTTGAATATCCAATCGATTTTTGTCTCTTCGATTAATCTGCTGTTTACACGTTGGTTCAAGTGCTTTCCTGCGAAACAAAAGGATTGGTTGTGAAAGGCTTCAGAGACTTACGGCTTCTTACGAAGATTTCGGTAATCTTATCGCACACAATAACATAATACATTCTATCGAGCTGTTATACCTCAAATTATCTCTGTTTATTTCATCCACACCTTCCAATTGTTTGACTAAAATGTTATCTTACCTAGGTCGTATAATGGTTTAGATAATCAAATATTTTCAACTGAATTCCAGTAATAACTGATTCTGACAATAACGTTCACACACGACTTTTCTGAAGTGATTTTTTCAACTCCAATAATATTATTCACAAACTATTCAACGAAATCACAATAGGGTTAACGCCAAATTACACAATAATGGACACATAACTATAGAACCTTAAGAAGAAGTTACTGAAAAGCACATTCTTTTAAAATCTTTGGCGAAAAAATAACAAAGACTAACCAATTGAATCGCGTGACCACTATAGTGTTTAAGGGAAAAATACAAAATTATCAACAGTTCTATTTCTGAGCGACTCACCATCTCTAGACATCTGACCCCTTCAAGTGGTTCCTTCGAGGAAGTTCACAGAGCACTTCCCTACAATTCCAATGGCTTTCAACTACCTCATTTAGATACGGCCGAATCGCCGGCAGTTCACAATTTTAAACCTATTCTTTGTGTCCAAAAGCATTACGTGGAATCGTAATCCTTACCATGACCGAAGTAGTAATCTCCTTGTCTTTAGAAACTCTTTACTCAACAAATAAACACTACAGTAGCCACGTGACCCTGTTTAATTCATAATTGACTGTTTGTTTCTAATACTTATAAATACACGATTGTACAGCTTTAGTGAATGAAACCATTGAGAGAAAATATTTTCTTTGCTGTTACGTCCATGTTCTATGACATGATTAAATGCACTCAGAACAAACAATATAAACGAGTCATTTCATAATAATCACTGTGGGGAGAGAGATATCTCAAGTAATGACAAACATTTACCTTGTTAAAAAAAACAGCAGGAAAACTAGCAGAAAATGATTGGTTATCACTAAAGAAATGCCAGGCAAGCTGTCCAGATTGTCCCGCAGATAAACTCACTAATCGTTCAGGATTTTGGCACCATAGCTTGAAAAAAAGAAGTGATGATAAAAACCTACAATTAGCAGTAAATCAAAAAGTTTATGTACAAAAGTCTAGCTGTTTTATTTATTATTTTTAGTAATTATAACCGACAATGTGGGTATTTTCTAGGTATCAAACAAATTTTAGTTTTGCCCGCCAAAATTTTCAGTTTGCAATGCGAGATTTCATTAATCAACGTGAATTCAATAATCAAATAGTAAACAGAAAGCAATTTCTCCATTATTTGTCTTCGAAGAAAAAGGCTGGAATTCAGAAGTTACCAACAGTTGGTGTGCATAACATCAAAGGTACTAGAATCTATGACATACAGCTTCAGCGTTGAATAAGTCGTCGAACCATTTAATGTACTTTTAGTCGTTCAGTTGTCTTAACGTCTGATAGGAGAAATCCGTACCGTCAGCTCCGGGAGACCGCAGAGCAGAGGGAATGTGTTATTTCTGGGGACAAATGTTTCACATCCCCCCTTCCCACAGGGAAGGTAACATTAGCGTGGCACTGCTGGTTATCGAAGGAAAACACTTTACTGCTGTCAACACCCCACTCATCTAGATACCAAGATTACGACTTGACCCTCAGACCCCCTGTCACAGCGCAGCAATATACACTATATTGGTAAATGTTTTTCGTCTTGCCACTATGCAACAAACCTTTCTGGCGTGATAGGTCCTCGAGAGAACAAGCATTCCACCAGGATAGCTCGTCCAGTCATTGTGATTTGCAAGCCCGATCACCACGTTAAGGTGCCAGCTATCGGTTGAGGACTCTTGGTGACATGGTTGAAAATCAGTCACAATGACGCTGATAGATTCGCTCTTTGACATCGGAGGCTTGAATATTCACACTAACCTTTATCTTCAGATTGTTTATTCTCTCGTTTTTTTCTACCCACCTATTTCCTGTATTACTGTTAAGTGTGGCGACTGGAGCCGATGCATTTGAGAGGTTCTATGTTAATTTTCTCAGTCAGACGGTTACTTCTAGTCGTTGACATTTTTAAACCCTAAGCTACATCTTGATTCGAAATGACTTTTCCATGTCACATACCACTTATTTTATTCGACACGTGCTCAGTACAGGGAAATGCAGAGCACAGAATTATATGAACAAATGAAGAAATAAAGGTAGGAAGAGAGAATGATCAGGAAAGAAAAATTGACCAAGACATTTTACGATGCTATCCCTAATTTTTCACTGCTGTGCAAAGTCGAAAACAATAAACCCATAAAAGAACATCCATCGGTTGTGGGACTAAGCTCAATTTGACGGTGTCTCAAGTTTGGGAATCTCGTGATGAACAGATGATACTCTAACCCAACAATTCTTTATATCGCAGTGCAACATCGTAAACTAACTGCTTATCTTGTTTACTCAATCAGTCATGGAACACAGACACAATGATGCATATGGAGGTCGTTACAATAAAGTAAACAGAACAGAAATCAAAAAAATAAATAAATAACACAAATACACACCGCTTCAAGATGACACATTTTAACACTAGTGAGAGAAAGTCAACAAAAGCCAATACAGAAATGTGAATAATATCGTGAACAGTAATAAAAATTAGAATAGCAATAAAACAAGGGAACAATACAGACGGAAAACTATAAAATAAAAGGCTCGAGATTTAGAGTAATGGTGTGTAGATGCATTTCAGTTTATTTTGATCCACATGTCATAAATTCCAATTATCGATTTCACTTATTTCGTGAGTCATATCCAGGAAGCCTACAGTTAACTGAACAGCTATAGACTTTGTGAGCTGGTAATGTGGTTTTGGACTAACCATCTTGAGGTATTTTCTGATCTGCCACTTCTTAAGCCTAAGGTATTGATTTATTTAGTGGCTAAATATTCTTAAAACTCAACGAAAGCATTCATTATTATTACTAATAGAACACAAAAGCGGCACACCAAGGGCATCAAGAAATACACCGAGCAAAATAATATAACAACATTCGGAAGACATAAATTGATGCGAAATGGATAAGTAAGAAAGAAAAACAATAAGAATAGAATGATTACAAGACCAGTACAGTACATTCAAAACAAAACACTCATTACTTCTCAGCAGCAGAAGATAGGGGACAGCTATAGCATGAACGGCACTGGTTTCGATTCTGAGCGATATCCGATGGCGCCTAAAGCCACTGAGCTGGTAAACTCTTGGACCCCACCCACGATGTTATGTTGCACTAAGAGGAGCTAACCCGATACAACTGTCCTTCATCCCACGGCGCCACGTCATACACTGACCACCCCTCCACTTTCTCCGTTGAGTCCCAGACCCAGGGCTTGCAAACAATGAACGGCGTGGAAGCTGTTGGGACGACATGAGCAACACGTATCCAAACCACCGAAGCCGCTGTTTCGAGATGACCACTTACTGAATGACGATGTCTACCATACCCACACACACGCTGTCATACTTCACAATTACTAACATGGTGTTGCAACCATATACAAGCAATCCCACGGAGACAGCAACGATCGAACGCACAGAGTTGTCGCACATCCTCAGCTCAGACAGCACAGGTTTCACAGGTGTGGAGCATAACTCGTAGCACCGAAGTGTTGTAAACCCGACCTTTTGTGGTCACACTAATGTCGTGACGGCGCCAAAGGTGGCCCAGATTGACGGTGTGAGGTTAGAAACTTCACCACGAACCTCCACTAGCGCTCACACAACTACCCAGATACATAAACTTTTTGACTACTTCCAACGGCTCGCTACCGAGGGTGAGCGCAGGCATACGCTCTTACCAATCTTGCGAAAGTACTTTGCACTTCGATGGTGCAAACCACATACCACTACGGACACTAATCGCCAACTTACTAAGGCGAATAAAGTAGCCTGTGTGCTATCGCACAGTAAGACGACATCGTCCGCATATTCAAGGTCGAACAGCCGTTCTCCGGGTAGTGGATCTACACCGCTATCATGCACCTCCTTAAGAGCTGTCTCAAGAATGTCACCGATGGCAAAGTTAAAGAGGAATGGAGAAATCTGGCAATCCTGTCTAACACCACTTCCGGTTTGGAAAGGAGACAGGTGATTGTATGCCCTCAGTCTACCTGAAGTGTTAATATACATAGAGATTCCATGATGTGAACAAATTCCTCCTCAGTTCCGGAGTACAGCTCTGTCCAACAAATCAAAGGTAGCCCTAATGTCAAGAAACACAACGATTGTTCACCTGCAATACGTCTGGCGACGTTCAAGCATCTGGCGGAGAGTAAACATGATCAAAAGATCTACAACCTGAACGAAACCCGGCCTGCTCCTCACGAAACATTTCTTCATGCGTTATTCAAAGTCTGTGAAGTATCATATAAGCCAATATTTCCGACGCGACTGATAACAGACTAATACCTCGATGATTGTCGCATACATTACGTAGACCCTTTCTAAAGATGGTCACAACGATGGCTTAATTCCAGAGTGATGGAACATTCTCAGTCTGCTATACATTCTGAAACAATCTAATCAGTCCCCTGAATAAAGTCGTCCCTTCATCCTTGAAAATAGCCTGGGATAATTTGTCTGGGCTGGGTGCCTTGTGGCGTTTCAGAACTTGAAGTTCCTTATGGATTTCTGCTTCGTCAGGTGGGTCAGTGGTAGCTGAAAATGGAGCACGATACACTGAAACTGATGATGCCAAAGCCACGAGCCAGTTAAAATGCTTTTCGAAGTGATCCACCTAGAGTTCCAGGTGTCTTTGAAGATTGTTTATCGGTGTACCATCTACCTCACAGACAGTCTCACTGAGACCAGGCTTCTTGCTGCCAGTGGCTCGGATGAGCTGGAACACCTGACTATTGCTAGATGCAGTTGCTGCTCCCATCCCACTCCCGCGTTCTGAACACCAAGCCTCATGACCCTTGCTTAAGCGTTGTGTAATCTTTCACGCAGACCATTGTACTTATCTTAACAGAGATATACCATCGAATCGACTGATATACCTACTTTGCTTAGCACTTTATGACCTAGTGAACTGCAGTTTCAACATATGTCCCTGACACTATCATTGGAGTGATAACTAAAGCACATGCACACTGTGTATATCTTACATCTTCATTGACCATGTCACGCAATTTCACAGTAACAAAGCAAGAATTTTAAGATGAATACCTGTACCATTTACAATTTCATTAAAGCAGCTCATAAAAGTTTCTACACAGCAACGAACGATTCAAACTGAATTTCGATCAGCATATATGCTTATGCGGAAAATAAATTCAACTCTGCTAGTTATTAGCTATTACATCAACGAACAACGGCGCTATAAAATATTAGTTAAAATGTTTCAAAGAAACTAAAAGAGCGATTTAGACTACCTCAAATGCACGCTCAATTGACTCAGCAGACGGTAGGCACGTGTCCTCCTCGATAGAAAAAACCGCTTCAGTTCTTATTTGTCGATAAGGAAAGTATCGACCATTTACCGAACCGTAAGCAGAGCGAACCACACTCAAAGGTACCTTTAGTGACGGCCATAGTATAGCTAAAGTAACGGGCAAAAAGAAACAGAAAATCCTTTTAAACTAAGTCATTGGTAATCTGTTTTTGAAATAACCAGCATTACTACGATTCATGCACCGAAAATATACCGACCAAGTGAAACAGTTTTAATGGTTTCAAGTGAGTTTGATCTTTTTCACCCTTTCTCTTTCGGAATTCTGCATAATGTAAACCTAAATTTTTAAAACTCGGTTCAATGTTATACTGCAAATCAGCTGTACGAGTCCCGAAATAATAATAATAATGGTACTATTGGACCTTATGCTATACCAGATAAGTATAACTAATATGGAACTACATTCTACCAAAGCAACCGCGTTTTACGCTTATATTACCGTCATCTGAAATTCGATAAGTAGTGCACTTATCAATAAACAACAAAAACCGAAAATAAATTAATTAATTAATCTCCGAAATGAACGGAATGCGCTAAAATTTAGCTTATTTAAAATTAGAAATCAAGAGATTAGTTCATGTAAATAATAACCACCTACAAATAACTCGGTAAATATTGACAACTTTGTAGTTGAGTGAATTCTTATCAATGTTATTTTGGATATGAACAATGTCCTGATTTACGAGTAAGGTTGAGGTAGTAGCTAAATACTTGCTAAAAACCAACTAAAAGAGATGAAACACGTACACTCACATTCAGGAATCGGATACATTTTATTTGTCCATACAACAACAATCTGTTGTAGGAATTTTACAGACTGTATTGATTTCAACAGAGTACTAAGTAGGGCAAAATGATTATGAGCTCGAATGAGAGCAGTAAATCCAGCTTGTGGAAAAGCTTTAGCTGGATAAAATAAAACTGGAGATATGGGAAATTCACTCTGAAATTGAAAAGAGAAATGTAAGTAAAAAAAAAACTATAACAAGTTAACAAAAATGTTTTATCAGTTTGACTACTTGACATAGCCATGATTTGGCAGATTTGCATTGATATTGCATGATAATTGAAGGTGAAATAAAAATTTGGGGTGCAGAAGGATCCTAACCATAGGGGTTCCACGACAAGCGCTCTGTTAACTTACCTATGGAACCAGACTGCTGACCAGATAACATTCGAGCAAATACCTTGGTCGAAATGAAATAAAAATCTAGTAGAGCACTGAGCCGGAAACTCCTGTGGTTAATGGTCCGAATAATGCCATGGCCCAAATTTTCACTTCGCTTTCAATCATTACGCAGTATAAAAATGTTTTAAGCTGACACCGTAACACTATTTTAAATTTACAGCTTTAAAAATGTCGAATAGAGAAATTAACATCCCAGTGCATGTAAGAATGGAAGTGAAGGCGAGAATCACGACAAATACAGTGACATAATTTGATTTAAGTGATCGATGCTCATAAGTGCAAATATAATTTTGACACTGTCGTGTGATTATGACCTATAGTGCTTGTGAGATGTCCTGCTATCTATCAAAGGGTGACAACTGAAAATTATGTTGTTCTACTCCACGGTTCCCAGATATGGCTGTTGGAAGATGAAGACATGGGAAGAGTACAGGATTCATTCATTTTCGTAGCGTAATCTACATGAGCTGTAATCCTAAAATGAACAATTTCGGTGTACAGTATACAGTACTTAACAAAGAAGGCAAAGATTTCGATAACGTTATGAACCTTTACCAACTTAGAATGGCTAGGAGATCGGTCGATATCTGAATTAAGGAGAAAACTAAAGATGTCTAGAACATGATACCACATCAATACACAGGCTTTTGGCTTCTAGTCTTAACAAGCTTAGGTCCTCACAGAATTAAGAAACAATTGTTTGGGAACCTGAATAACATGGCTCAAAAACGATTTGCAATAGCACCGATTCATTTACTTTTTCTCACCTCATCAAACCTTATCTATTTAATTTTTCTCTTCTCACATTCCACTCTGATAGTTTTAAAATCAGTTTGCATCTTTTTTCTGCGTTTTATCAAAAACTGGCAACTTCAGCTGATACACTTAATGAAAGGTCCTACTTTGATCTGTCAGTTAGTCAAATAATCGTCACAACTACTAAGTTACTTTAATAGAATTAGTTAGCGTGTTAGAGTTCTAATAAACCAGTGACAGTGAACAATTTTAGTTTGATACTTGTAATTCCCCGTTACAATACTGGGTCGAATTGCTCGACCACTGTTGGCAGATGGGTTCATGCGTGAATACCTGGATACTACCTGACCCAGTATAACAACAGGAGATTAAGAGTATCCAACAACAACAACAACAACTGATAACCGTTGCACAAGAGGTGGCTTTCGTGCCCCCAGTGTATAAAACTTTTAGGTTTGAAGTGGAGGGTATTGAGTTCGAGTCTCGGTGGGAACAATATCACTCACTGGGGTGCAGGTACACCCAGCTGGTAAATAATTGTACTTCATGCCAGTTGCAACTACTGATCCCTGAGATTTTTTAACTAACTTCATATAATTTTGATTCTAATTAGGCTTACATTACAAGTCATATGAAGGTTGGACGTAGGCCACATGTGTTTATGCAGATATATATATATATATAGCCTTTATGAAGATAAGTGTGTAACAAACCGCTTCTACAAAATGAAATGTAACATTTCTTGTCAAAAAGGTAAGTAGATATGCTAGTGATTTGTATACCCATAAAGAAGTCTCTGTCAACCTAATAAGTGTGTTGCAATAAAGTACTTAAGAGTTCCAATACGCAGACACTGATTATTAGTTCGTTTCCTAAAATAAATGGTGTAAGAGTTTAAACAAAATGCAATTACTCTAGAATAATTGGGATAATTCCATTCAGCATAAGATCGCGAATACTGCGGAAACACACGATCATTCAGTATATCCAAAGTGGTGAGTAAAATTCTTTCCACTGAAGAAAAGTAACGCTCATAGATGAACAGTATTTGCTGGCGAAGAAGAAATTTCTCTCTTGATGAGTATGTTGACAAAATGGATGGAATCTTTTGAAATTTAACTCTCGGAATTCGAATAACAATTCTAGATAATTTAAAAAGTTGAAACCAAACACACTTCATTCTTTCTTAAATACAAAAAAATAAAATAAAATAAACATTGTAAAATAAGACTTAATATCCATGTCATAATAGTTTTGGTATGAACTGTTCACTAGATTGTAACGTATTGGCGACCTGCTTAAATTTTGGACTACCAAAAATATTTAATCGAATATATTTCACAAAATTGCTACTCTTTTACTTATTTTAACCATTCAAATATCAACTAGTCGTAAAACATACTCGCACACACTCTTAAAATGTCTTTAACATATCGTTAGATGGGTTACTAACAAGACTACATGGAAATATTACAGTAGACGGCAGTTGGCCCATGAACGCATAACAGTGCATCATGTAGCTGCTTCAGGAACACGTAACTGGAACAGCAAATATTCATACTAGATGAATGAACCTTCATCATCAAACTTACATGTGCTTTTCTGCTTGACCCGCGTGCAACAACATACAAACTAGATGATGACCTAGAAGCTACTGGTTGTTGTGGATTACTGCCTATGATACCATCATCAATAACATTATTTAATTGTCACGGTTTTTTTTAATTTGAAAATATTGTACAATATGTAAATGTGTTGAAGTATCACGCTGAGAGTTCCTGACTGTATTGAAAGTTATTGTCCGAAATAAAGTGATTATCATTATCATTATTATTATTATTGTTATTGTTATTGTTATTATTATTATTGTTATTAACAGATACAGTTCTCCAGTTGACTGTAAACACCGATTAAAGTTCACTAACCAATTTTATACGAAATAGTTGCTTAAATAAGTGACAGCTTTGAAGGGAATCCTTGAATATAGTCAGCAACGAGGTACAAACATGCGTGTTAGGTTCGCAAACACTCATCAACAAGTTGCACTACCAACTTTCAAAACAGCTGATACTAGCTCTTACTTTCGAACATGCATTATTTAATCCCACAATTATACAACTTCAAACATAGCTATTCAAATTAAGACCAACAATCTGCAAAACCAATGTTATACATCTAACTTGATGAAAGAGAACGAACGCGGAACCCATGCATATAGTTTTCTACCGATCAGCTCATAAATAGCCAACTCTAGCTAATAGCGTGCAACAAGAACGATAACATTTATTTACAGTCCACCTAAAAATAACACACTAAATTTGAACTGAGATATTCAAAAGAACGTAAAAACGTTGGGCATTATAATGGTTATACATTAGGTTAGGCGAGAAAAAAACAATTCTTAGTCATGATTCACTGGTTTAGGTGCTTGATCTTCAACCGGTGGATAGTAAGTTTGAACCTTACTCTAATTACCAAGATCTGGGAAGTCAAGTAGTATCATCATCAACAGTCACAGAATAATTGTAGCTCATCGCCTGCTACACTAACATGTATATAGTTGCTGAGTGCATTTTTACTTGAATTTCAAATGAATTAGTAAGTAACTGAGGCACTATCTTACGTAATTACTGAAAAACGTGGCATACCAGACCGTATTCACTTCTTTAAACATTAAGTATAGATGAATGTGTCATACAATGTGATATGACAAGAATAAAGTTTAATAACAACCAGAAAGACTGAAGTAATGACATAAATTTTCACGTCAGTAAGCTTTCATTTACAAAAAACAATTCTTCTTCTAATTTATTCTGATGCTCATCTTCAATTTACAGACATTGTGTAAACCACTTGTATGGCATCAAATTTTAGTGCGATGAAAACATAAGACAGTCAATCTCTATCCTATTTTACCATCACAATAGTAACCTACTAACTAAGCATTTTTAATGTTTGAAAAGTAACTATCACTAACAACGGTGGAAAGAATTAAAAATATTTCCTGCAGAAAATCATTACCTATAAGCAATACCGCACATAGGAGGCTAAAATTAACGCTAATTAGGTGACCGTGAATGATAGGTTCAACACTGTGATTCAAACTGTGATAATCGAATACTTACATCATTAGAAAAAAAGTTTGAAAATGAATCAAAACTTACTTATTCCAGTCAAGAACTTCAGAGAAAGGTAGGACAATATCATCATTCGCAATTACCGGGATACAACCACATGCTAAACTATCGTACAAATTAAAACGATTCGCATTATCTGCATCAACTACTAGGCAATATTCACTAGAGCATAACGATTCTGAATAATTAATCCATTTTTAACACCTTGACGATACTCCGATTCTGAAGCTAACACAAAACGCTTTTCGTAGGTTACATCGAATTGGTTTGAATAATCTAAGATAATTATAGTATTTGACGAATCAGCATTTGATTTACGAGAATCTAATAAGAGGTATTTAACATGGTTGACAAACTCTTGGGAAGTTGACGGAAAAAACTATCAGAAATATTGAACGTCTGATAAGTATAAAAAGAAAAGAAAGAAAAACTCATGATCATTAATGAAGTAGTAAAATGTCAAGTCATGTCATTAGAATGTTTGCAAGAAATGAGATAAAAAATTAATGACGCATTCGAAATTCTATTCAAATACGAGAAGAAAACGAGTAATTTCTGTAAAATGATGAACGGTAAGTTGAATTAATAATGCTATACTCTGTATGGAAACTGCTTTCGCCTTCAATGAGAAATTATTGGCACAATCACATGAATAAGTTCGTTTAAGCACCGATCTTTACAATCAAATTCGGTTGTCAAAAAACAAAAATGAACTGTTTTGCCAGTGAAATTAACTTGTTGGATCGAAATAATAACGCTTGTTTCATATTCGATAAAAAGGTTGTACATTAACTCTTAAATATGACCAACAGTAACTGTAATACCTTGTGATCTACAAGTATTTCACGAGTGTACTAATGGAGATCCAAACAAAAACAAAAACATCTAAAGAGTATAATAATCACATGGAAATCTAAACAAGTTAGCGAATGAATGAGTCAACTTCAAAAACCAACGAGTATATGAAAGTCTTCGTTGAATAAACAAGGTGAACAGTTGAAGAATGTATACATATATCACATGTGTCTTCGTAGCATGTCTCGCATTTGGTGGAATCACCGTGTGAGCAATGTTGAGGTTAGGAGAAAGGTACTAGGCAAGACAGGCAAGTTGATTGATGAGGTTGTGAACCTTAGTCGACTGAAACGGCTTGGAAATCTACTACACATATCGAGCCACCAACTAATTCGACATGTCATGCTAGGGAAAGTTGGATTAGGTTGGAAGAGGGTTCAGGGTGGCCAGTCCATGAAGTCCCTAACTGTTGGTCTGAGTCGAGTGGAAAGATGTAGACTACTTGGTTTGGGTCTTCGAGACGATTCAAAATAATTTTCATCATGAAATAATATAGAGATAATGGAAAACACACCGTAAAACGGCTATCTACTCACGTTTAGGCACATCGTAGCAAACACACAACGTGTACTACTATCCTCTTCTGACGTCTGACGGTTTTGGGCTTACAAGAGGAAGCAACTATGAGTACATATTGCTCGTACAGCTAAGTATAAGAACTCGACTGTACCTTACCTTGCACGTATATTTTGTGAGGAAAAAAGTGTTAGAACAGAAATTACACATCAACTTTGTGACAGTTAAAAATCTTATTTCAATAATTTAACTTACAATGCAAAATTTTCTCGTTTTTATTATTCTTCACATAACTTAAATTTTTATAACAAAACAATTCAAAAGGCTGCAAAGTAGTATGTATATACTTACATTTTGTTGTTATTGCAATATATATTACGCTGAGAATTCCAAATTGTACCACAAATTGTTTGGAATAAAGTGAATTGTTATTATTATTATTAGTTCTAAGCTATAACAAAACCACTTAGTTCAGTGATTCTTCAATATATTTCAGTTAGTAATCGACACCGTCCTCAAATCGACTTATCCTATTGCTCAAGATACGTACAATCAACGGTAAACCATAATCCAAATCATACGTAGAAAACTAATTTCCAAAAATTTATATGATTACCTTTTATTAATACTGCTATCCAAAATGACAGTGTACGGATTGAAAGCTGGTAAGACAATATCAAATTTTGGCCTATATGTACAACTTGTATGACTAGCACTGGCGACAATAGCTGAAGCTGAATAGTCCAACTTCTTAGTTGATAAAAAATTGATAAGTAAATGATTTTTTCCATCATTCCATCTTGAAAGAAAATTAAGATATTAATTTTGTTTAAACAAAAACAATATTTGAAACAAACCTTGGTAGATGATTCAAGTAACGTAGTGATAAATCAGTGACTTGATCTTTATCTTGATGAATATATAATAAATCTATACCAGGCACAAGAATACAAGCATCTTCAATTCGATTGACATAATATTTACTGGATAAAATTGTATTATGTAAAGAAATAAATTGCTGACTGAAACTTGGTGAATGTGAAGTATCATTCAACTGTTGTAATAAAGGGTACATATAAACTCTAATGGTATGTAGTGGTTTATCCACAAGTTCATGAACACAATTATTTATATTAAAACATGTAGAGTATGTACATTGTTTATTGACATACGAAGGCAACTGATAGTAAGAATTTTGAAAATGTCTATCAAACTTTTCGACTGAAATAATCAAATTATGTAATGAAGTAAGATTGAAGTAGGAAATCATTATTATCATTAAAACAATAAAAAATATGAAAATATATTTTAAATAATAAAGACTAGGCTGTTTTGTCATTATTAGAAATGGTATTTGTAGAAATCAATGAAAACTTGAAAAGTGAAACAATCAACCACTACACCACAGCCATAAAAGTAAGCTACTCACTTTAAAGAGAATCAGTGTCAAAAGAAGAATAATTACTCAGTTGATCATTGCTTGGAGTAGATTCATTCATCCCAATGTCTATCAGGAGAACCTATAAAAATAAATCAAAAGTGTACAGTTCAATTTATTGATCTGATTAGTCAAAAAATAAGGATGGTTGCACTTTATTCGGATTGTAGATCCTTCAGTTTACACAGGTAACCTAACAACCACACACAGGTTCATGTACCAGGCTAGGAGACCCACATATTACATGATGGCTAATGAACGAACGTCCATAACTCACTGGTTGAAGATCAATTACCTAACCCAATACGCTCAAACTTAGCACAGTTTCCAATGACTTCCATTCAAGAAAGATCATACACGTATAAAAGTCATTCATTTATCTAAACCATAAAACAACGCATAGGAAACGACAATTTGAAAAAGCATTCCGATCAAATAACAATAGGTGAGTGCATCTACTGTGATACAAAGGAATCAGTTGTTTTCAAAAATATTCTGGTCCTAGAGATAGATATCATATCAAGAAATCGGTTGAATTAAACTTCGAGTGCCCTAAACAGTTTAGGTGAGCAAGGAAAAGTGACAGACAACTGTGACAGCATTTTGCAATAACGTTATATTACTGTCTAACTCACAACAGTTGGCTAACATGAGAATACGAATAAATTAGTATTTCATCTAACTCGCCTCTATTGTGTTGAAATCTTCTTCTGTGGTAAATAACAACTGTTGTACACTTTGTAACTACTTCAGTAATCCAGTCAACAGTTTGGAGGTTTATAGCAATGTGTTGGGGTTATAGTTTCAGAGGAATTCAGGTGTTTGTAGTTATCAACGAACGTTCTGGAACCCACTACTAACCATAGCTAACTACCGATAGGTGCTTAAGTAAATGAGAACCCGTAATTCATTAGTGTAAGCGTGTTACTTTCAACCGGAGGGTCAAGCGTTAGTACCCAGACCTGACTTCCGAAGTTTCGACAGCGCTGTATTATCACCAGCCCTCATACAATAGATGTGGATCATTGTTCAATATATGAACCTATATATAGTCACTGATTTGCATTACTCACTCATTCTATCTACAACCCTTATATTTAGAGAGCTACTGTTAACTACTTTAAGCAACTTATCTTGCAAAAGATTTTTGATTATTGTCAAGCACAAAAATAAGATGAACCTCAAGCAGAGAATGCTTTTAAATCACAGGCTTTTGATGATAAACCCCTTTAAACACTATGATATCATACAAATGAACAAACATGACCAGCAACATCAAACCAAGGGATTATTTTTGTAACAACACAAACTTTTACAAGTAAAACATTTTATTGAATTTACATCTTTTGGAAAGTTTATTTACAATCTAGTAAACAGCTATTATGAGAGCTTTCGACGCTTCAACTGGTGGGCACACTGATTTACAGATACACAACACTCACAGCTATCACAGTGAAACTTCTTGGTAGGTCTACAGCGACCACATTTATCACAGTGCACATAGGTCGGTCCATTCTAAATTGAAATATTTAAGTAAATGTATTGATAACAAATCAAGACATAAAAAAAAGATGAATTCATTTAAAATACAAGCAACTAACCATCCAACAAAATGACTAAGGTATATCTAACTGCGACTGATTATGCATACCTTCAATGGGACTGAGACTTATGGGTGTGGACACTTGGCTTTTAACCAGTGCATCACGAGTCTGAACTCCACCCTATCCACCGAGGTCTGAGCAACCAGGTAGTATCATAGGCCTTAACACAATAAACGTGGCTTATTGCCAAATACAGGAACGTGTACATGGTTGCTGAGTTTCATTTTTTTTTTCTTATACATTTCTTGACTTAAAATACTCAGTTTCGATTTTGTGCGAGCAATTCTACATTAAAATCAGATATTTTCAAAATAGGTTTGTGATGAGAATGACAGAATTACATGAAGACTATTTACGAAATCTAAGTGGTTTCCTATGAAAACTGAAATGTTAAGACCACATATTATGATCTGCTTGACACTACAAATGGCGTCATGATAGTAAATATGAAAGCTGTAAGCAATATACTATTGACCGATATGAGTAGCTGTGGTTCACACTTTAAAAAGTCTACAACCAGCACTATAACTCCTGATTGTGTTAGGCTTCGATATTTCAATGAAAGATCCCTTATAACCTTTCCCACCAAAAAGAAGAAACATAAGTGTCGTTACACTTCAGCACAATCTGTAGGATTACTTGTTGCAACGAAGTGGTTTTCATTTCACTTCACTTTAGTGGATCTTTCTGGCAAGCTAGGAACTCGAGTAAGGCAACCCAGACTACAATAACAAAGTGGTAGTTTCCGTAAGATAATATAAATTGATGTAACAATTAGATTTCTACCCATCAAGCACAGTCGTCCGTACAGTCTCAGAAGATAACTTTATCACGGAAATGAATTACAAGCGATAAGACAGTATGCATTGATGGTAGCAGTGTTGAGTAGTAACTTATGAGATTGAAATGATCGATCAAGAGCACATCTTTTGATTCCGACATCCTGTCACTTAGTTTTCATTCATGAAAATTTAATAGATGATAAAAATTAACACTAAAAGCTCACCTTGGTTGTACAACGATTGCACTTGGCACAATGTAGATTTGTGATATGTGAATAACGCTGGCAAATCTCACAAAACCTATGTCATAAAAACAAATCTTTCATTTTAATGCCCAATTAAAAGTCGATGAGTATTGCTAAAACAATAATTTAGGATCAAAAAGTATTTAGCAACTGATTCTTTTCCTTTTGTTTCCTCATAGGACTTATCTAGACCAAACCAAGGGACTCTAAGATTTAAGGTATGTCATTCTTTAAATTATAGTGTGCAATTCTGACAGTTGTCATTTTTAATCGAAGGATAAATCGCTTATGCAGCAAGTTGCTCAATACGTTAAAGTCTTTAGACACTTATTCCATGATATAAATCCATAGTAAAAACCATATTACAGCGATTTCTTAGACAGCCAGTGAATACAGAAAAAATAAGGATACAATGAATTGCGAATTACGAATTGAAAATCTTAATTTTACACTTTACAAATGTTCAGGTATCTTTAACTATTACAAAGCAATGAGTAACTAACACCAATTGTATTCAGAATCAGTCTGCCGTACGACTCACAAACAGTCTACAGAGACAGATACAGTTGTGTGGGAAGCTAACTTCTTGATTTGTCAGTTAGTATTTCAGAAAGCAAGAGCATAAACACAATTTACAAGCATATGAATTCGAGAATAAATTTGTACGTTCTTCTCCAGATTTAATGCAGAATCTAGCAAACAATAGTTAGATAACTGATCAATTTGATCAACAGTATAGAGTTTCATTTGGAAAATTCAGATAACGCAAATGGAGAGTTACGCTAAACAAGAAAACAAATCTTATCCTACAGTGGGAATGATTGGAAATGGTCAGAACTAAAATCACCTAAAACAGTGAAACAAGGTGCATTAAGTAACAATAAAAACGAAAACTATGTGAACACCACAACACTGACTACAGTTGATATTGAATGAAAGCCATCGATGTCTCGGTTCAACTCAAACCTCGTTAAATTTTCTCATTCTTGTCACCTTTTATTGCAAAATGTGTGAAGGTCTGGAGAAATTTTCTAATGCACTAGGCTTTTTTGGCTCGTTATTCAATTTACAATCCCTACAACTAAAAACGATATAGAGTATGCTCAGAATTACATACATTAAATAATCTGTTATCTATACCTGAAAGACGCTTCCAACGATTTAGGTGGGTGGACCGAGGAAGGTGGAAGACTCGTAAACAAACGTACAATTGAATCTCGTCTTTGTCCTGTATTTGACTTATTACTGTTACTAGTAGTCATCTCATCGACCTCCATATCATTTTTATCATAATCCATTCTTGAGTGATTTTCATAAGTTATCTAAATGAACAATAGTATTTGAAAATAGTGAACATGCTGATTACTTTATAATCTAATAAATTAACAGATGGTGCAATTTTTTGTAGTTTTTTCTCGAAAAAATACGGTAGAACCAACAAATATGGAATATCGCTTTTATTAGCCTCACTGTAACCATCATAACCGGCAATGTTGTCCTCGTCAACTAAAGAGAAAGATAATTGTCGGATATAATACAATACCTTCGGCATTTTGATAAATACGCTTTATCATTGATTTACTAAGCAATTCAATCTGTTTTATAATTAACGACAATGGTGCAGCAAAGGGGGGATCACAAAATATCAGGAGTTTGTTCATTGGTTTTACATTTTCCTTAAGGAAACAATAGAAAAGTTTTTCATCCTGTGGACTGAAGAAAAATCCATTCACCATATTATATCGTGAGAAATTATTACACGGACGATAAAAGCTTGTCTGATACCATACAAAATGAAAAAGGTATTATGGTTTACAACAAACCAGTCGAAAATCTATATCCAGTAAATAAGAATTCATTGATTGTCCCCTGTGTATGCACTGAAGTTGAATGAAGTCATGAAGACGCGGTGAACCAATACAAATAATATAATTCACTGACAACTTGTAAATAATTGAGTAGAGTCGGTTCAAACAATCTAAGGAAAAGAAATATTGCTGCAATAATAATAATTATTACTATTAAATGAAAAATTACACGTACTGCGTGAGCCTTAGAATTTTCAAGTGGCTTTAATAAATATGATGGCATAGACAGCAAGTTCTTTGAGAAATTCTTCGTATATTCATGCTTTCTGTGCTTTTTTTTACCGACTGATATTGAGAACAAACAATCACAAGTAAAACAATAGGCTCTATCTGACTGAACAATATCAAGCATATTTTCCACTGACCAATTCTTTGAAGTACGCATCTGATATAGCTCTTGCCTCTCACATTCACCTTTACTACGAAATGCTGAACATGCATAGTAAAATGACTTTGAGCACTTATCCGTTACTTTTAACATGATACCATGAGGACAAGTAGGACCATCAGTTGATAGTTCAATCATGGAACACATTTTGAAATTTGAAACACCTACAAAATATAGAAAATATGGAATTACAGCTATAAAGGTAGCAAACATTTGGAATTCATCTCCTTAAAGTATATTAGATACATTATTATGTTGGTTAAAACTGTCACTTTTAAATACTATAACGAAAACTGACAACAGAGATAAAATATAAAAACGGACTACAAGGATTTTATGGACAGACATAAAGTAAGTATAGAATATTAACTTTAGTTTAATACAGATCGAATTAGTGGTTACGCACATATTACTGAAATCTTACCAAAGCTATGATCTAGTTTCTGATAGTCAAGTTTTAATCTATCAACAAATCTAGTTGAAGAGTGTAAATTTCTACACACAAGTCAGTAAGTTTTTGAAGTGATACTTTGTGTTAATTTACTCCTCTGGGTTTCTCTTTTGTACTGCTTTTATGTCAGTGAGTACTTCACCACTGAAACACAACTTGGTAAGAACTAAAAGTACCACCTTACTACATGCAGACTACAGGTATCTAACAATAGCAGCTAGTTACTACTGTTCCTTCGCTTATAACAGTTAAAAGTAAAAAAAGGAATATCCCTTCAAAAAGGCTGAATCAAAATCCCAAAACTAAATAAGTAAAAAAACAAAATCATTATTTTCTCATAGACAACGTTATGCTTCTTTCCTATGTGGAACATAACTTTTGTCATAAAAACATCCACTGGCTTGATGAGTCCAAGCTGATTACTACAAAGTTGGAAGGTTGCAGGCTGGTATTCTATGCTGAATATGGTCAATGAAAATGAATTTCGGGTTTCCGATCAAACAAACAGCGCATACACCCAAGCTTTTCGCCGGTTATACGAAGAATAAAACTTCTGGTGTTCCCTCACTTCGTTATCAAACAGACTATTACAAAAGTCAAAGTCAAAGAAATAAATTAAAAATAGCGAATTTTAAATTCTCTACGTGAATCTTAAGACAACTTAAAGCTGAATATAGGACTACAAATATCATTTGATTTTTTAGAGCTGAGTACCCAATAAAGGATCTAATGTAAGTTCGCACTACATATTTCCCCCCTAATAGCGCCTATACTTTCTGGTGGAGCAGTGGATCATTGGTTTAGGTAGTGGGTCACGGGTTCGAACAATACTCTAATTACCAAGGTTTGAACAGCCAAGTGGTATCATTAGCTTTAGAACAGTAGGTGTAGCTCATAGCCTATTGCACGAATGTGTACGAGGTTGCTCAGTGCGTTTTGTTTCGTTTGTTCGATCATCTCTGCTTGATTTTGATATACTTCATGATCACACTATTGAGAGTCACTACCCATCGCTTTCTATGGTCAAGTTCATCCTTCTACAACCGCTGGAACCTATCCTAACAGATAGATTTTTTAAACAAGGTTACACGGGAAACACCTAGATTTATCGTTAACCCATAAATAAACAACGTATTTGGATTTAAGATAATCCTATTTAGACCTGGACAAACGGGTGATATCATAATCCCTGGTACACGTGTGGCTCACAAACTAGTACATAAACATGTACTAAGTTGAGTTACAGTACTTAATTTATTAAATTTGTTAAAGATAACAGAGTCTATTTACTGGGATATGTAGAGAATATACAAGGCTTGAAAAGATGTAAATGGCCTAGTCAAATTCTGATAGCGACTAACTACTAGACTGAAATTGTTTAACACTAATAGGTTTTTATTTACATCTATAACAGCATGTATATGTTAGTGGGATGGAGGCAATCGACAGGAAACCGTGGACCTGGGTTTCGTACTTGTTAGCACTCATCAGCAAGGCGTGCCTGCAACCTCAATGGGATTGATGTCCTGCCTGACATTCAAACCCGCACCACCTAGTGTAGCAGTCAGACGTTGCCACTGAACTGTTTAAGGCGCCGTTGGCATCCTGTAGGACTGGGTGGGTACTGCGAAATAAGCGGTAGGATTCGATCAGCCTTTGGTTACCCTCCGTAACCAATCAATGTACTGTACATGCAAGATATAAATGACTATTTGATCAATAAAGCTTGTACATGTACTCTCATCTATGATGTTAACACTACCACCAGCTTGTACATATCATCTGATTTTTTCTGGTTGAGATTTGTTCACGAGCACTAGTTAAAAACAGCAAATCTTGTGATAAGCAAAAATTAAAAAAATAATTTTACATCCCTAAGAGCATCGGTTCTAACTATATCATTAGAAGCATCTTCATTATACACATACCTTTTTGCCTTTCGTAAAACTTTCTGTAATATCAGATCTAAACCGACTAACCTGGAAACGTGTCGTGGAGACTTGTGCATGAAGCAAGAGGCAAGTTTAAATAATTAATCATTCAGTATGAACATCAGAATTGGTAGTACTAAGCAACAGTTCGAGTAGCCACAACTACTAAGAACATTGTGACACAATGGAGTAAGACGGAAGTCAAAAAATGGAAGTAATATTAGCAAACATCATAGTGACAGACGACACTGCGTTACAATGAAAAAGGAAATAACAAAGCAGAGACATGCAAAAAATTACATCACCTTCTTGCCACAATTTACAACAGAACAGTAAAGAGTAACCAATAGGAATGGGAAGAAATTAGCAATAATAAAAATGTGAGCAAGATAGAAACATATGAAAAATAATAGGATGTAAAAACTGCAATGCAACTCAACAACTAAACTCAGGTCCATAAATTGGACGGTGAGCCATACCTCTAGACTAGTATTCAATGATACTACGTGCCACCGAAACCACCGGCTGAAAACCAAGTGTTTAGACCAGTGAGCCTCAGCCCCATCATGAGGTATGCAAAATGCTGAAAAAAATAGTGTACAAATTTATCTCAGCGAAATGTACTTTAAGCCATCTCAAATAGTCGTTAACCAATGACTTCTAACATCTCTGCATGATGCCAAGTAGCTCACGTCTCAAAAAGTATAAACCAACAGTTAAGAACGTAATGATGTATCAACTGCATAAAAATATTGGCTCCCATCATCCCTTTCAGACTGCGGAAACCTTGTCAAAAATTCTGAAGGAGCTGTTCTGGTTTATTTCTGGCGGTAGATACACTGACCATGCATTAACTCGCACCAACCTGCCCCTACCAGATGACTGAATAACACCATAACTTCTGAGAGCTGATGATCGTCGCAGTATTATCCTAAGGTTGACTTTTGATATCAATAATGAGATGGACCCAGAGATTTCTTTTCAAAGGTGAGTGGTCCTCAGACCTTCAGTAGCATCATGAAATTCCTATATAAAGACTCATTCGATAAATTGATGGTACATTTCTCTCCTCATTGTTTCCGGCTGGAGGTCGTTATAACCAGAGTTATTCAATTCTGCAATTTCTATTCAACTTTGTTACTGAATACATTCATAAGACAACTCTGAAAGAAGTGAGTTCTCGCGGTGACCTATTAATATGGATCTTTAAATAATTGATCTAAACTCAGTTTCACTTACCACAGTCACAAAGCATCACTAGTTTTTATACTTTTACACTTACGGCCTCATACATGAATCTGTTCATGATCAATGGGTAGAATCAGATATGTTACTACTAGGAACTTACAGACTCTTAGCACGCAGATAGTCTTCTAACTATGCAACGGTATATAGACTCCTCATGAAGTCTGAATGTTGGTCTGAGATATGAAGAGATATGTAAGTTGTCCGGTTAAGGTGCTCAACCCGATATGAATCAGCGGTTTGAGAATTACGATGGTATAGCCCAAAGTCGATCACAATTTTATTCGTTCCAGTCCACTTTCGTTTCGCTTATTGCTGTGAATTGTGGAAACTTCAGTTGAGGCATTCTTGTGCCAAGTCGTACGTTGACCTGCCTGTTTGTCCACCAAGCAACCAACGCTCAACTACAAAAATTGTCCGCTTCGTGATTCGACAACACATTACTAATAACAGTCACATAATGGGAAACCTATAATACCCACGTTTTACCTTCAGTGGGGCAGCAGAATGGGGTAGACTAATTATTAGTATACTTATTCTTTAGCATTATCTATTGCTGTAAAGTCGTTTCGCCTATCCAACTACATCCTGAGTATGGTAAATAGACTTAGTAATAATTGGACTATATAAATCACCATTATTGTTGTTCTTGTAAATGTTACAAATTCTTTCGTGTGTCCTTGCATTGATTTTGTCTCTTACTTACTCTTTTTTCGCTCACTAACCCACCTTTTGCGACCAACCTGAGAGAACGTTCGATGATGCAACAACCTCTAGTGACACTAGCTGGGCATTAACGAACGAGACGACCATTTTCTCCCTGACCGAAACTTTTGTAGTAAGCTTGTTTCTATCTGTAGATGGTCATCGAGATCTGCTTGCCAAAACGACCCTATGCTGTATGGATCCAAACTGTTATCGGCCTGATATGGAATCAGATGATGCGACTATTGTAAATGAAAACACAAGTGGCAAGGTGGTGAAAGACAAACTAATCTTGAATGACCATACCTAAAAGAGCAGCACCATAACACTTGTTTGAACGCGTAAACGACCGGAAAAATTGTGGGGCAGGAGATAAGCTGTGAAGCCTTCTGAATCCCAGAATGCCTGTATCATTTTACCTATAAGCTATGAAGATGCTGCGGTCTGTCTCAACTGTTCAAAAAATCAATTTGAAGCCTTTCAAATGTTCATGCTCTAGTTAATGTTACGGAATCAATGGGGAAAATTTCTACGGCATTTAATGTGAGGTCTAATTATGCTCCATCATCACCAAATGTGGTCTTCTAAAATGCAAGAGCACACAGACGCTTAAGAACACTATGAAAACCATCTGAAGTTAGTCGAGTCAGTTGTTGGACATATCCTACAGGAAACCTTTTGGAGTGTAAATCTCCAAAGTAGCCAGACTAGGAAAAATAATGGATGATAACTTTGATGAATGGAGTAACAACGGAAAGTTTATGGTTGAGTGACACACGTAAAGTGCATCCTTTAAACAAACATACCTGGCTACACCAATCTCTTAAGAATC